TGATGATGATGTACTGTAGATATGTGGGAGGTAATGATGATGTACTGTAGATGTGTGGGGGTGATGATGTACTGTAGATGTGTGGAAGGTGATGATGTACTGTAGATATGTGGAAGTTGATGATGATGTAATGTAGATGTATGGGAGGTGATGATGATGTAATGTAGATGTGTGGGAGGTGATGATGATGTACTGTTGATGTGTGGGAGGTGATGATGATGTAATGTAGATGTGTGGAAGGTGATGATGTACTGTAGATGTGTGGAAAGTGATGATGATGTAATGTAGATGTATGGGAGATGATGATGATGAACTGTTGATGTGTGGAAGGTGATGATGATGTAATGTAGATGTGTGGGAGGTGATGATGATGTAATGTAGATGTGTGGGGGTGATGATGTACTGTAGATGTGTGGAAGGTGATGGTGATGTACTGTAGATGTATGGGAGATGATGATGATGTACTGTAGATGTGTGTGAGATGACGATGATGTACTGTAGATGTGTGTGAGGTGATGATGATGTACTGTAGATGTGTGGGAGGTGATGATGATGATGTACTGTAGATGTGTGTGAGATGACAATGATGTACTGTAGATGTGTGGGAGATGATGATGATGTCATATAGATGTGTGGGGGTGATGATGACGTACTTGGATGTGTGGGAGGTGATGATGATGTACTGTAGATGTGTGGGGGTGATGATGTACTGTAGATGTGTGGGGTGATGATGATGTACTGTAGATGTGTGGGAGCTGATGATGATGTACTGTAGATGTGTGGGAGGTGATGATGATGATGTACTGTAGATGTGTGTGAGATGACGATGATGTACTGTAGATGTGTGGGGGTGATGATGTACTGTAGATGTGTGTGAGATGACGATGATGTACTGTAGATGTGTGGGAGGTGATGATGATGTCATATAGATGTGTGGGGGTGATGATGATGTACTTGGATGTGTGGGAGGTGATGATGATGTACTGTAGATGTGTGGGGATGATGATGATGTACTGTAGATGTGTGGGAGGTGATGAGGATGTACTGTAGATGTGTGGGGGTGATGATGATGTACTGTAGATGTGTGGGAGGTGATGATGATGTACTGTAGATGTGTGGGAGGTGATGATGATGTACTGTAGATGTGTGGGGGTGATGATGCTGTACTGTAGATGTGTGGGTGTGATGATGATGTACTGTAGATGTGTGGGAGGTGATGATGATGTAATGTAGATGTGTGGGAGGTGATGATGTACTGTAGATATGTGGGAGGTGATGATGATGTACTGTAGATATGTGGGAGGTAATGATGATGTACTGTAGATGTGTGGGGGTGATGATGTACTGTAGATGTGTGGAAGGTGATGATGTACTGTAGATATGTGGAAGGTGATGATGATGTAATGTAGATGTATGGGAGGTGATGATGATGTAATGTAGATGTGTGGGAGGTGATGATGATGTACTGTAGATGTGTGGGAGGTGATGATGATGTAATGTAGATGTGTGGAAGGTGATGATGTACTGTAGATGTGTGGAAAGTGATGATGATGTAATGTAGATGTATGGGAGATGATGATGATGAACTGTTGATGTGTGGAAGGTGATGATGATGTAATGTAGATGTGTGGGAGGTGATGATGATGTAATGTAGATGTGTGGGGGTGATGATGTACTGTAGATGTGTGGAAGGTGATGATGTACTGTAGATATGTGGATGGTGACGATGATGTACTGTAGATGTGTGTGAGATGACGATGATGTACTGTAGATATGTGGGAGGTGACGATGATGTACTGTAGATGTGTGTGAGGTGATGATGATGTACTGTAGATGTGATGATGATGATGATGATGATTATGATGATGATGATGTGTGGGGATGATGATTACTGTAGATGTGTGGGGGTGATGATGATGTACTGTAGATGTGTGGGAGGTGATGATGATGTACTGTAGATGTATGGGAGATGATGATGATGTACTGTAGATGTGTGTGAGATGACGATGATGTACTGTAGATGTGTGTGAGGTGATGATGATGTACTGTAGATGTGTGGGAGGTGATGATGATGATGTACTGTAGATGTGTGTGAGATGACAATGATGTACTGTAGATGTGTGGGAGATGATGATGATGTCATATAGATGTGTGGGGGTGATGATGACGTACTTGGATGTGTGGGAGGTGATGATGATGTACTGTAGATGTGTGGGGGTGATGATGTACTGTAGATGTGTGGGGTGATGATGATGTACTGTAGATGTGTGGGAGCTGATGATGATGTACTGTAGATGTGTGGGAGGTGATGATGATGATGTACTGTAGATGTGTGTGAGATGACGATGATGTACTGTAGATGTGTGGGGGTGATGATGTACTGTAGATGTGTGTGAGATGACGATGATGTACTGTAGATGTGTGGGAGGTGATGATGATGTCATATAGATGTGTGGGGGTGATGATGATGTACTTGGATGTGTGGGAGGTGATGATGATGTACTGTAGATGTGTGGGGATGATGATGATGTACTGTAGATGTGTGGGAGGTGATGAGGATGTACTGTAGATGTGTGGGGGTGATGATGATGTACTGTAGATGTGTGGGAGGTGATGATGATGTACTGTAGATGTGTGGGAGGTGATGATGATGTACTGTAGATGTGTGGGGGTGATGATGCTGTACTGTAGATGTGTGGGTGTGATGATGATGTACTGTAGATGTGTGGGAGGTGATGATGATGTAATGTAGATGTGTGGGAGGTGATGATGTACTGTAGATATGTGGGAGGTGATGATGATGTACTGTAGATATGTGGGAGGTAATGATGATGTACTGTAGATGTGTGGGGGTGATGATGTACTGTAGATGTGTGGAAGGTGATGATGTACTGTAGATATGTGGAAGGTGATGATGATGTAATGTAGATGTATGGGAGGTGATGATGATGTAATGTAGATGTGTGGGAGGTGATGATGATGTACTGTAGATGTGTGGGAGGTGATGATGATGTAATGTAGATGTGTGGAAGGTGATGATGTACTGTAGATGTGTGGAAAGTGATGATGATGTAATGTAGATGTATGGGAGATGATGATGATGAACTGTTGATGTGTGGAAGGTGATGATGATGTAATGTAGATGTGTGGGAGGTGATGATGATGTAATGTAGATGTGTGGGGGTGATGATGTACTGTAGATGTGTGGAAGGTGATGATGTACTGTAGATATGTGGATGGTGACGATGATGTACTGTAGATGTGTGTGAGATGACGATGATGTACTGTAGATATGTGGGAGGTGACGATGATGTACTGTAGATGTGTGTGAGGTGATGATGATGTACTGTAGATGTGATGATGATGATGATGATGATTATGATGATGATGATGTGTGGGGATGATGATTACTGTAGATGTGTGGGGGTGATGATGATGTACTGTAGATGTGTGGGAGGTGATGATGATGTAATGTAGATGTGTGGGGGTGATGATGTACTGTAGATGTGTGGAAGATGATGATGTACTGTAGATATGTGGAAGGTGACGATGATGTACTGTAGATGTGTGTGAGATGACGATGATGTACTGTAGATGTGTGGGAGGTGACGATGATGTACTGTAGATGTGTGTGAGGTGATGATGATGTACTGTAGATGTGATGATGATGATGATGATGATGATGATGATGATGATGATGATGATGATGATGATGATATAGGGAGGTGATGATGATGTAATGTAGATGTGTGGAGGTGATGATGTACTGTAGATGTGTGGAAGGTGATGATGTACTGTAGATATGTGGAAGGTGACGATGATGTACTGTAGATGTGTGTGAGATGACGATGATGTACTGTAGATGTGTTGGAGGTGACGATGATGTACTGTAGATGTGTGTGAGGTGATGATGATGTACTGTAGATGTGATGATGATGATGATGATGATGATGATGATGATGATGATGATAATGATGATGTGTGGGGGTGATGATGTACTGTAGATGTGTGGGGGTGATGATGTACTGTAGATGTGTGGGGGTGATGATGATGTACTGTAGATGTGTGGGAGGTGACGATGATGTACTGTAGATGTGTGGGAGATGATGATGATGTCATATAGATGTGTGGGGGTGATGATGATGTACTTGGATGTGTGGGAGGTGATGATGATGTACTGTAGATGTGTGGGGGTGATGATGTACTGTAGATGTGTGGGGTGATGATGATGTACTGTAGATGTGTGGGAGCTGATGATGATGTACTGTAGATGTGTGGGAGGTGATGATGATGATGTACTGTAGATGTGTGTGAGATGACGATGATGTACTGTAGATGTGTGGGGGTGATGATGTACTGTAGATGTGTGTGAGATGACGATGATGTACTGTAGATGTGTGGGAGGTGATGATGATGTCATATAGATGTGTGGGGGTGATGATGATGTACTTGGATGTGTGGGAGGTGATGATGATGTACTGTAGATGTGTGGGGGTGATGATGATGTACTGTAGATGTGTGGGAGGTGATGATGATGTACTGTAGATGTGTGGGGGTGATGATGATGTACTGTAGATGTGTGGGAGGTGATGATGATGTACTGTAGATGTGTGGGAGGTGATGATGATGTACTGTAGATGTGTGGGGGTGATGATGATGTACTGTAGATGTGTGGGTGTGATGATGATGTACTGTAGATGTGTGGAAGGTGATGATAATGTACTGTAGATGTGTGGGGGTGATGATGATGTACTGTAGATGTGTGGGAGGTGATGATGATGTACTGTAGATGTGTGGGGGTGATGATGATGTACTGTAGATGTGTGGGGGTGATGATGATGTACTGTAGATGTTCCAGGAGTGTACTGTATAGTGTACTGTTGTTGTTTAGAAGGAGGAGGTGTGTGGGAGTGAGGTGACAGGAGCGTTTTACTATAACTTGTTTAGTCGTTGATGTGTTATGCTTACCTGATATTTTTTTATTTCTCACCTTCTTACAGCCCTGCTCCCAAGATGGAATACAATTCACTTATGGACGTTTTCAGAAAATTTTACAAGTGTGACTTACTTAATCTAAACCGGAACTTTGTGAAAGGTGTTTCAAGTTCATTTGCTAGGAAATGTTATGTTGAAACTGATCCAGGAAAGTGTCTGTCAGACATGATAAAATATTGTCAATCTTCAGTCAGGATAACAAAAACAATTCGATTGTCAATGGATGTAGTACAGGATTTGATGAAGGAGTTTCCTAAACTCAAGGTCATACACTTACTACGGGATCCACGAGGTATGATTGCATCCAGGTTAAAAACAATCACGCATCTTCATTTCAAAGACGCCGGCATGCCAACTATCGCGAGAGCTGTGTGTGATAAATACAACCGCGACATCCAAATAGGACAATTACTGAAGAAGAAATATCCAAGCAGATTTAAAACAGTGTTATACGAACAGATAGCAGAAGAGACATTAAAACATTCTATTCAAATATTTAATTTTCTGGAGCTAACACCTAACAGCAATTTCAAAACCTGGTTGGCAGAACACATATCAGGAGATCAGAAATCCACTCATCCGCCAGATAAACGCAACCGTGCCTTCAGTACCGTCCGCGCCAATTCCTCAGCTACCGCTAGCTCCTGGAGGTCGCGATTGAAATTTAATCAGGTCAAGGAAATCGACAATGAATGTTCTCAATTTTATGACTATTCCGGCTATTTGGCAGTTAAAAATTCAAACACTTTAAATGATTTGACATTACCAGTGAGAAGGAAGAACATTAATTTTCTATGAAGATTTCAGCAATAATCCTTATCACAACTGTATTGACGTGTGCGGTAGAATGTTAAAAACTATTAATTTTCTATTAAAATTTCAATGGTAATTTTCATCACAACATTTAACGACATTGTATATTGAATTGTAAGATGGAATAATCTAGATAGCATGAAACCCTAGGATATAGAAGTAAGCCCAACCGTAATCTCCTTTCTGGTCTTCATTTCCTTATTTGATAGGTATTCATTCTTTTCTCATTCTGTACTTTATTTCCATGATTTCTTAACGCCTCTTTGTTCAACTTGGTGATTCAAATGCCCTTTCATACTTCACCCGTGGTCTGTCCGTATGTCCCTAAAAAGTCTTGGAAATCGATATTTCTGAAGAATTATACAATCGGTCATTCTGAGTATCATCTGGGTGTTTGTCTTTGGTCCCTTTGTGTTCAATTTTTAGACTGTTCAGAAAAACAAAATGGCTGACAGACGGCCATATAGGGTTTTGAATGATGAGGTTTATTTTCGCGTGCTTGAAAAGTACTAAATAAATCGAAAACATTCATGATTAACCGAGGAGTAAAGAATTTGATGAATGAAAATGAGGATACGCTTTAAATAAGATATTATATCATATTAAATCTTAATACAGTTGTATTCAAATATACTAGTAAGTACGATACATGAAATCCATCATGTCAGATAGGCTGCAAATATGATAACATAATTGTAAACTGTCTTGTCTGGGGTTTCAACTTGCTCGAACTGATATCAGAACGTCTAGTCGAGAAATAGTTTGCAGGAAGGCAGTGACTATTGGTAGTATCATTATAACTGATAAGCGTCGTGCTCGACAATAACACATCCGAACCGCATGAAAAAGAAATACCTAAACTTCATATTGCACCATGACTTACAACCCAGTCTACATGTGGTCCACCAAGAGGTTTGTAAAACGATACAAGAGAATAGAACATTCTCTACGTATTTAGAAATATTAGCCAAGTGGTGAATTAAACTGCATCTTTTTTCCAGGACTCGTCAGTGATGACAAGGGCCTAGAAAGCGATTGAGGAAAATCAAACTCGAAATGAATGTAAAAAACGACATAGGGAGATATTTTAACCTCAAAGGTCAAAATTTTCAAAATAATGCCGAGTACACGTGCATATTCTAAACTTTGCCACAATTCAAATGAAGAAAAATAAATCACATGCAGGTTAAAGCAAAACTTGGGTTCTTAAGTTCATCACCACTAGAGTTGCATTCCTTTAGACATTGTCAGTGATCCTAAGTGCCTCAAAGGTTGAAAGATTGTACAAAAGACACACACACGAACAGCAACTTTTATCAATCTAGTTAGATTAGAACTTAACCATTCATTATACAGCTGTTTCGTCCTTCTAGGACTCGCCAGTGTTGCTACATTATACAGCTGTTTCGTCCTGAAAACATTCCAAAGTCAAAACTCAGACGGGAAAGTGCACCAGCCTCATAATAACATCAATTTCGTTATTTACATGTATCGGAAACTTTATAAAAACTTCATGTACATGTGTATATTCTGGACCGCGACACTATTTGAATGAATTAAAACGTAGCCTGCATGTTAGGATAAACCTCTAGGACTTAAACCGACCAAACAAAATAATGAAAATTAATAAAATATGAAATAATTAATTGAATATCCAAAACCAAAACCCATTTACATATGTAGAAATGCAGTAACCCTGAAATTCAATAAGTTTCATAATTTTAAAATATTGAATTATTTCAATTAAACGTCGAGTACAGAATAAGTACATATTTGGAAATATTGTATTCAAGTTACAATAACAACCCCAAGGACCACGAGCAGTGTTCCATATACAGACATACACCAGGAAAGAAAGTCTAAGTAGGATTATATTGTATATTTGTCAAAATTTAGGGAGTAAAGACACACAAATAGTATCAACACAGGCCGAAAATATTGCCAGGACAGGATGTGTTATTGTCTTTCATCATGGTGTAATCTTTATAACAATATATTGTAACAATAATCTTATAAAACATTCTTCACAAAACTTGTTCGCAACACGATAGCTGGAGGAGAGGACAAGAGGTGATGGGATTGGGGGCTATCGATGTAGTTAAATGGAAGGGTCTTTAATTCCTCCTCAAATGAAGACTACACAAGGCATTAACATATGAAAAATTATAAATACAATGAGGCACAGAGAGAACCTAACATATATTAAAATACAGTCATCATACAGACGCGAAACAAACCACCACCACACACCACCACCATAATCACACACCATCACACACACACACACACACACACACACACACACTCACACACACACACACACCCTCACACACACTCACACACACGCACGCACGCACACACACACACACACACACACACCACGCACAAACCAAACACACCCACACACACCACACACCACTACCATAATCACACACACACACACCACCACCACCACCACACACACACATACCCACACACACCCACACACACACCACACACACCACACACACCACCACCACCATACACACACATCCACCATACACACACATCCACCATACACACCACCACCACCGCCACACACACCATCACCACCAAACACACCGTCAACACCACACACGCCACACATATACTACCACCAAACACACACCACTACCACACCCACCCACCGCCACACACTTACCACACCCAACACCACCACCACACACCCAACACACACACACACACTACCACACATCCACCTTACACACACCACACACACACACACCACTACCACATACCCACCACACACACACACCACCACAACACATCCAACACACACGCACAAACCGTTCAACCCTATTGTATTCTTGCTTTTAGTACATCTTATATGTATGTGCATAATACACGTGAATACTTAAGATACATGACGTAACAATAAATACTGTAATTACATGCTGTCACAGTACATACTGTAATTACATGCTGTTATAGTAAATACTGTAATTACATGCTGTAACAGTAAATACTGTAATTACATGCTGTAATAGTAAATACTGTAAGTGCATGCTGTAATAGTAAATACTGTAAGTGCATGCTGTAATAGTAAATACTGTAAGTGCATGCTGTAATAGTAAATACTGTAAGTGCATGCTGTAATAGTAAATACTGTAAGTGCATGCTGTAATAGTAAATACTGTAATTACATGCTGTAATAGTAAATACTGTAATTACATGCTGTAATAGTAAATACTGTAAGTACATGCTGTAATAGTAAATACTGTAATTACATGCTGTAATAGTAAATACTGTAAGTACATGCTGTAATAGTAAATACTGTAATTACATGCTGTAATAGTAAATACTGTAAGTGCATGCTGTAATAGCAAATACTGTAATTACATGCTGTAATAGTAAATACTGTAAGTACATGCTGTAATAGTAAATACTGTAATTACATGCTGTAACAATAAATACTGTAAATACATGCTGTAACACTAAATACTGTAAATATATGCTGTAGCTGTACATATTGTATGTAAATAGACTATGGAAAATGTCACTTTAAAAGAATGTCTACATCACCACTTAAGAACTTACACTGATGTTTTGTTGTATTCAAAATGATAATAAGGAGCGTTAGATATTGATAGAGGTAACGATGAAAGCGATGAGAGCAGATATACAGTTCTAACAGGCCTGTTTATACTAGTGTTGTATTTAATACCAGTATTCCTCTACATAGCAATTCCTACCAGAAGAAATGTTTGTAGTATATTCAACAGAGTTAATTGTCAGTTAGACAGTTTTAGCATTATTTTTAATCATGATTAATGATTTTCGTTAAATATATTTCCGTCTGTCTTCAATAATAAGAGCTAATGCCTGTTTCCAGATCATTTACATCGCTTATTAATTTAATCAATCGTTTATTGATTTTTTCCACAAGAAAGAAAATCATCCCAACGAAAATGAGCGAGAAAACTGTGAAATCAGATAAATAGAACAACAACATTAATCTCACTGTCAGTAAACAGGCGGTAGCACACGTTCGAGGAAAACTAGACGTTGCTAAGCAACCAGAAGGTAACTACACGTTACGATTGGTTCATCCATCATTTAACATGTGTTTGCTGTGATCTGGTTTATTCAGTAGGTATCCTCAAATGACAAAAAACAATGTGATATCACTGTGGCAAGTTATCTTCTGCTGGAGAGTGCGGCAGATCTAATGTGGTTTGTGTATCAACGATTGGAGGCAAAGACTGAGACTTTCGTGGCTAAGGGCTGTCATTATCCACGATGTTGTCTCGTGGTACCGTATTATTGTGTACACTTGCTATCGTGTATCATATATTTATCTTGAAAAGGTTCGCCGTTCCACTGTCTATGAAACGTCTCCATTTCTAACAAATTTCTATAGAAACAGAAACCCATCATCAAATAAAGATTTAATATTGCTATTTTCTGACAGAAATACCCATTGGTAAAATTCACATCCCGATAATTTGTAATTATTTTATTAAAACAAACGAGCTCACCAATGATTGTTTTTACAAAATACAAATTAAAGGAAGAACGAATTCTAAACCACTAAATCATCACGGAAGTACACAGTCACCAAAACAATACAACGACGCACAAAATATCTGTGAAACGTGAACTACCGGAAGAAACCCGGACAAGTTACTGGGTATACAATATGATGATTTTATTGTTGTTCATTAAACAATGCCACAGTAGTGTTTCTTTAAATTCGAAAATATGTGTTTATTTTTTTCGGTATAATAAACAATTTATGGGCCAGGGTTAAGAAGAATATGAAGGTTTATTTAAGAATAGTTAAAATGTTTATAAAAAATGCAGGTCACATTCCAGTGAACAAAACACAACTAGAAAATGCAGACCAACAATTTGACGGGCTTTTCACCTCAACACAACATCTTACATTTAGGTCAATAGTTTCCATAAACATGGTAGCTAACCATTCAAGCATTTTAAATACTATATACCTAGATTCTAGACTGTATAGCGTCAGGTTATTTATTTGTATTACCCGAAAACGAACTTTCTACACGTGACCTTTCCTAAAACCGGAAATTGACATTTGACATAATATATTCTTACTACTGTAAACATCATCATATAGTACCTACTAGCTACTGAAAAGAACCCATTAAAAAATTTTTACAAAATTGACCCTTGTGACCTCAAAAGTGGGTCAAGGTAATTCATAATGTCAAAGCTGATTACTAACAACAGCTGGAAAATCTTACATGTGAAGTATCAAGGCTGTAGACCTTGTGGAACTTAAGAAGTTTGTAACCTAAAATAAAAAAATTCAAATTTTATCCCAATTGTCGACCAGAAGTGCAATTTTCAGAAGAGGTTTTATTAATACATTCAATAGCAATTGATCACAGTATGCTTCTGACAAAATCCCATCAGTGTGTGTCCGGGTTATTGAGAAAACACTATTTTAAGATTTTGACATGATTGAATCCTGTGACCTTGAAAGTCGGTCAAGGTTATTTCTATTATCAAACTTGGTAGCCGTTGACCAGAGCTTCTATATCATGTGGAACTTCAGAAGAAGTTTTTCAAAGTTTGTTTCCAAAATAGTAATGTTTAACTTTGACCCTAGTCAAGAACCGGGTGTTGAATTTTCAGACAAGATTTTAAAGATACATTCAATAGAAATTTATCACAGCATGCTACTGACAAAATTGCCTCTTGGTTATTGAGAAAATCCTATCTAAAGATTTTAACATAATTGACATATATGACCTAACATTTATAGGCAATGTTTTGAACATCTCAAATATGAAATATCTTTGACCTTGTGACCGTGAAGAATTTGAGAGAATTTGTTAAAAGTTTGTTGAAACCGGAATTAGACATTTTATAAAGAAATGTTTCTTGAGAAATGTTTTTATTAGTTAACTCATAAACATATCCAAAGATTAATTAAATTCAGGCGTTAATGAGATATTGCAATTAAAATCAAACTCTTCTACGACGTCATGGCGGCCATTTTGTTTTGTTGAAAAGTTGAAAATGTTACTAACTGGTTGAAGCCATCTGAGGAAACGTGTCATAGCAATTAATTGAAATGTAAGTTATTGATATACGTCTAAAACAAGTTTTACCAATATGTCGGCATTCTAAAAGATCAAAGGAAATTTTCAATGTGGTGTCCAACGTTTAAGGTAAGTGCTAATGAAAAACTGTTGACACTAAATTCATCGGAATGACATTTTACGTTGATATGTGAAAGAATTTAAAAAAAAAAAAGAAAACAATAAAAAGAATGGGGGGGAAAATTAAAATTTGTGACCTTTGACAAAACAGCGAGCTTTTTTTGGACATATTTTGTATACGCTTAATTGGTATAAAGTTAGATATGGGAATTATCTACACACAAATAATTGCATAAAATCCACAGTCAACGATTTTCGAGATGTGGCTATTTTAAAGTTTAAACATATGACGTCACGGCTGCCATATTGGATTTTTGACCAACTTTAAAATGTTACAAGCATATCTTAAGATACGTATCTACAAAACAGTAATTAGACTATAAACCTATCTCTTACCTAGCAAACGATTTGGACTTTTGAAAAACATTAAAAACGAAGAAAGAGAAAAAAACACACACAAAAAAAGTATGATTTCTTATACTTACATTTTGACAGTTTTTTCAATTGTTTACTTTACTGGAGTTAAAACAATTGTCATTTGATCATGAGACGTTATAGTACTGACGGAACAGCCCAACAACCGTCTCTATCTAAACGAAAAAACTGTGAGAATAGCCGTTTTAAAAGCACAGTGATAAAGCTATGTTTTAGGTTGTAAATCAAATAAACGTCCTTGTTGTATTTATTCCAGAGATGTCTCTGGTATCATTGATGAAGAATTTGAAGTCAGATTTCTTCCCTCTAGAAGAATAAGTCCAGACTCCTCCTTTCTCGACGCATCAGTCCAGACTCCTTCTTTCTCGACGCATCAGTCCAGACTCCTTCTTTCTCGACGCATCAGTCCAGACTCCTTCTTTCCAGACGATTTAGTCCAGACTCTCCCATTCTAGACGATTTCGTTCAGACTCTCCCATTCTAGACGATTTCGTCCAGACTCTCCCATTCTAGACGATTTAGTCCAGACTATCCAATTCTAGACGATTTCGTCCAGACTCTCCAATTCTAGACGATTTAGTCCAGACTCTCCAATTCTAGACGATTTAGTCCAGACTCTCCCATTCTAGACGATTTAGTCCAGATTCCTTCTTTCTCGACGCATCAGTCCAGACTCCTTCTTTCTAAACGATTTAGTCCAGACTCTCCCATTCTAGACGATTTCGTCCAGACTCTCCCATTCTAGACGATTTCGTCCAGACTCTCTCATTCTAGACGATTTAGTCCAGACTCTCCAATTCTAGACGATTTCGTCCAGACTCTCCAATTCTAGACGATTTAGTCCAGACTCTCCAATTCTAGACGATTTAGTCCAGACTCTCCCATTCTAGACGATTTAGTCCAGACTCCTCCTTTCTCGACGCATCAGTCCAGACTCCTTCTTTCTCGACGCATCAGTCCAGACTCCTCCTTTCCAGACGATTTAGTCCAGACTCTCCCATTCTAGACGATTTCGTCCAGACTCTCCCATTCTAGACGATTTCGTCCAGACTCTCCCATTCTAGACGATTTCGTCCAGACTCTCCAATTCTAGACGATTTAGTCCAGACTCTCCCATTCTAGACGATTTCGTCCAGACTCTCCCATTCTAGACGATTTCGTCCAGACTCTCCAATTCTAGACGATTTAGTCCAGACTCTCCAATTCTAGACGATTTAGTCCAGACTCTCCAATTCTAGACGATTTAGTCCAGACTCTCCCATTCTAGACGATTTAGTCCAGACTCCTCCTTTCTAAGCGAATTAATCTAGCAGGTTCACAGTGTTCTGTATTCCTTTAAACCAGTCAGGTTTTACAGATCACTGGGTTATAACTATCATGTGACCGTGGTAGGTATGACCCCTACAATGACAGGTCAGGTAAATAATATATTAATGAACATTTTGTACATGGCACATGAAAGAGGTGGTGAAACGTGCAAAAATATCATCATTCCTTTTTCTGGGGGAAAACGGCACCAGTTTCAAACTTGTCTCACTCTAAGTGACGGGAACGCAGCGATGTTTTTTTTTTTTTTTTTTTTTTCATTTTCTAAAATGAAACTACGCTATGTAAGTATCTCATTTTATCATTAAAAACCATAATACTTCGACAGTCTTGAGTTTATCCATATAACCGCTTAATGGGATTATCCTGTTGGCATTTATATGTCCATGAACATCAACTGAAAGAATTTCACTGTTTTTGAAACCTCTGCAAAATGACTTAAACAATATTGACAGGAAGGATGTGTTACAGGATACAAAGATATAATTGTGAAATAATTGGTGCACGTGAAATACAGTCAGCAACATACAAGGGAGGCGTAACGCTACTGTTTAACCTATTGGTGGTGCAATCTTCTTCTTCATTGTTTATATTTTAAGGACCAACCAATCGGATAAGATTGTACAAAAAACAAAAAAATGAGTGGCACCGCAAAGCAATGGATGACACTGCATCACAGCTGTTTCGTCTTTCTAGGAATCATCAGTGATACTACATCCTACAGCTGTTTCGTCCTTCTAGGACTCATCAATGATGGTAAATCACAGCTGTTTCGTCCTTCTAGGACTCATCAATGATGGTAAATCACACAGCTGTTTCGTCCTTCTAGGACTCATCAATGATGGTAAATCACACAGCTGTTACGGTGTTCTAAGACTCGTCGGTGATTCTAAGGGCCTAACTGTTAAACCTGGGAGGCGACTGAGGAAAATCCAAAGTGATCGACAGAAATGACAAAATCTTGTTGGGGATGTGAACTGGTTCCATAATTCCATAAATCCCACGATTTTCATATACCTGGTTATTTTAAAGAACGTCAAGTACATGTGTATATTCTAAAGCGTGCCACTATTCCAATGAATTATCTCGGGACTTCCATTTCACCAGCAGGTACTACTACCTGTAATCTCGGAAGGTTGTACAACACACACACATAGCACCATATTTAGATACAAGTTACAAAAGAGTGCACCACACCTCGGTGTATTGTCACGGTAAGGAACAATAACTCTGGTAGCGATCGAAACGGAATTTAAACTGTTCTGTATTCATTGTTCAGTAATTTCGTTTTCTGATTATTATCGATTCACAGGCTCATGTCTGAGAATACATCAAGCTCCATTTTGCATTTTTTTTAAAAAAAGAAATGAGATATACGAAAGATAGACCCCGCCTTCTAAAGAAATCACAAGTCAAGCGCACGAGTGAAAAAAAGTACCTGTTTACATGTGATCTTTAAATACACAGTATATTAAACAATCATTGTTAAAACAAATAATAAACAAAGTATTAAGTTTTTAGTCAAATTTAATACATGAAAAATTGTCGATTTGTAAACAATACAAATGTAAACAATGTGAGCGACAAAAAAATATGAATATGATAATGGTGACATTCTCTCGGCGATGCAATTTATCACAGAGGCACATCAATATTGGCCTATTGTTTAATAGATGGCGTTGTTACGTTAAGAACGTTCATGCTTTTCTAGTCAGCAGCGCGAGGTCACTGAAGGCAATGTGTTCGCCTTTTTCACAATGACTTGTTCGCTTCGGAAATGTAAAAGACTTGAGAAAGCAGCAGTAATTGTAGCAATTGAATCCTAATTATTGTCAGCGATTTCTACTAGGTCGGTACCAGTAGTTTTATTTGTACACTTTTTCAGTGATAAAAAGTGGTTCTTTCTAACAAACGTATTATGGGCTGTACAGCTCGCATAGTACATTGTGTAGGTAGAAGAGAAGGCTCGGTTTGAAGTTTGTTCAGGGATTTATTAAGAAGAAAATGTTTTAAAAAATAAAATTTCTATGACCTTAACAAATGCCGTGACTTTCATGTCGGTCAAGGTCACTCATTTAGAACAATCTTGATGGCACTGGTGTGTGACTTTGTAAGTCTATTAATTTAATCCCACTAGCTTAACATCGTGCCCATCGATGTTAGTCAGAAGGCCTGAGCGGGTGACAAAGTGTCCAGGTCATGCCAGCATGTCACTAGACAAAAACAGACCGAAGAAGCAGTTAGTTTTGACCTCTGTGACCTTGATAAAAAAGTAGTTTTAACCCCTGTGAGTTCGGTAAAAGGAAACGGTAAAGTGTGTCACTTAAGCGTATCTGAAAGTCCCTAATACTTTGGAGCATTTTCACACGAAGGTTTTGAAGAATACTATTTCTTCTGCCTTCCAAAATTATCTTTGATTTAACTCTAAATCTGACAGACCCTCTATAAACAATGAAGGTTTTGTATAGGGCAGGAACATGTTAATTACTAGTATATCAGATTCCTTGTTCTGATATAGGGAAAGTTTTATTATAGAAGTTACAACTTGTGGCAAGTTGCTAACATTTCTGACAAAATATGATATACTTAAATGTAAGGATATCCCAAATGTTCCTTGACGAAAAGTTAACCGGCAGTTATTGCTCTACAACTTGTCCATCACATCAAAATACCCAATATCCTATGTATTATCATTATCATATACTCTAGGTATCTGAATTTAGTTTCTATCTTTGTTGTAGTTATTTAAACATGTACATTATCAATAAGAGTACAACATGTATTGTAAAGTTATAAAACATTTTATTTCTCTGAACATGAGGTTTATTTTCAGCACTGTGTAACTGCACCGCCATGTAACAAGTTACACTTTATAACAGCCATACAATGGTAGGGAATCACAAACATTTTACTGATATCAGAACAGAAATACTATTAAATCCAACTCAAATATTTTCATTATAATTTCCAAAAATCTGACAATGATTTAGCACTATTTTTTGTAATATGTATATTGTAAATAATATGTAGTGTGATATTTTGCAGCATAATCCAGGAATTTCAAATAAAATTACCATGCTAAAACATGAATGCAAAAATATAAGTGTCAGGCCTAGGGATTTTATTTTGACAATTTTCTCGACAAAAATTGTTCTGAGGAGTCTCATGTAAAATGCATACACCATTTTATTTTATACATCTAATCTCATTTGAACATCTACATTTCAACAAGAATAAACATCCAAGCTTAAACATCCACATCAACAACTTGCATTCATTTATACTTTGGACACTTCAGAATTAATGGTTGATGTGAGAGTTATTGGTGAGGATCAGTTTGAACAAGACACATGGCAGTAAGCACGATATTCCTTTTACCCGCTAAAACTGCTCTGATTCATTCAATTCTCTTGACTACACCATATAATTAAAACTTTTAACCTATTATTTATAATAACATTTTTTTTCATTCAGACTCTGAGAAAAAAAAACTGAATGCATGACTCTCTCTTCAGAACTATTTTGTTCACTCAATACCTTAGTCACAAAGTTTACACCCACAAAATACTTTTATTCATTATATTAATGGAATCAATTAAATTTTATATATGTATCAAATATCCAATTGTGGTTAGAAATAAAGAAATAACAAATCCTTAAAAAAATGAGTTGTAAACAAGCTGGAGTACAAACGGGAGAAACCATAAATGTTGCAATCAGTAACAAAAACACTGGATAAAAGTTTAAACAAAAAGTTATTTGAATTTAATTTTGTCTTTACTAAATACTGAATAAATGGATAACCTGTTATCATAACATCTATACACTATCAATTTCCATAGCAATGAAACCCAGCTATTGAAAATGTTATCAGAATTACTATAGATAAATGGAATGCTAAATACCAATCAGATATGTATGCTATTGAACCTACATCATGTTCTAATCCTCACCAATAACTGGTTCAAATCATAATTTATAATCATGTAACACAAATCATTTGTAATCCAAAATTTCTTTTTGCTAAATCATTATTAAATGGGTTTCATTGGGATGTTGTACAGAAATGAATACAACAGCTTGGTTTGATATTCTTGATGTTTGAAGGACACTGCTGTCCACAGAGAAATGAATGACACCATACATAGTCTACTGTGAAATGACACTGGAGTCCACTGTGACATGAATGACAACGAAGTATACAGTGAAATACATGACACTGCAGTCTACAGTGACATGAATAACACCGAAGTCTACAGTGAAATAAATGACATCGCAGTCTACAGTGAAATAAATGACACTGCAGTCTACAGTGAGATAAATGACACTGAAGTCTACGGTGAAATAAATGACACTGCAGTCTACAGTGAAATAAATGACACTGAAGTCTACGGTGAAATAAATGACACTGCAGTCTACAGTGAGAAAAATGACACTGCAATCTGCGGTGAAATAAATGACACTGAAGTCTACAGTGTAATAAATGACACTGAAGTCTACAGTGAAATAAATGACACTGCAGTCTACAGTGTAATAAATGACACTGCAGTCTACAGTGAAATACATGACACTGCAGTCTACAGTGAAATACATGACACTGCAGTCTACAGTGATTTGTGTAACACTGCCGACTACAGTATAATGGTGGAAACTGCATTCTATAGTATAATGGTGGACACTGCAGTTTTCAGTGAAATGGATGACATTGCAGTCTACAGTGAAATGGATTACTCAACCATCAACAGTGACATGGAAAACAATACATAAAGTGCAGTGAAATGAATTGGGAAAAATGAACATGAAGAAAATATCACAGACGCAAGGCCGACCTTGTGGGGACGACATATCTTTGATCAATTTTAGTTAACTTTGTCCTTTGGGGAATCTTTCTCTCAAAATGAATATCCGGTGGGTTGATATCACAAAACGCTATATTTTCAGGATCTTCAGCGGGTGTCAACAAAATTAATTCCAAATTCAATGTAAGGTTCTCGAAGGAGTGCTGGAAATGGTAATACTCTCCTGAATGCAGCAAACCCTATCTACCTCCCTGGTCATAGAGATTCTTAGTTATTCAGCAGATGTTCTAGAAAATTCAATGAAATTACCTTTTTCCTTATTTAAACTATTCCAATAAAATGTCTTCCTCATCCAAATACTCCAGGTTTCCTTTAGGAAATAATATACATACAAGTAATAAATAGACTGGAAACTCCACCATGAATTTAGTCTGGAATCCTTGGGTAGAATCAAATTTATACCAGAATAGCTTTGGAACATCTCTAAACATTGTTGCAAGATGACAGGGTTTTGTATCACTAGCTGTCGAGAGGTTTTGGTGAGCAGCCATTTGGAGGTTACGAATTTGTTCCCCTTTCACATTTAATATCATCTGCCAGAATTCCATTGTCCAGTTGATATGGGAGCCCGCTTACGGCTTTCTGATTGGATTAAAGATTTACAGTACTGCTCTAACATCTGAATAAGCACCTTTTTCTTAAAACGTCCCGCCTCACGTATCACATCACGGACAAATGCACTTTTCATGTCCACACTCCCTTGCACTGTGTTTAGATGATTGAATAAAGCATCGTAATCTGAAAAAACAAGATGAGATAGCAATTAACGAATAGCAATTAACGAATAGCAATTAACGAGATAGCAATTAACGAATAGCAATTAACGAGATGGCAATTAATGAGATAACAATTAATGAGATAGCAATTAATGCCTGTGATATATCAGGGACATATAACAGAAGGGATAGGAGACTGCTACATCTCTTTGTAAAACTACAGCAAATAAATGGGAGTTAACCATCCTTGAAATGACATGTTAACATTTTATTAGCAGCTCAACTATCAATATACATGTACCACTTAAGTCTGAAATATGAGGAAAACCATTCTAAATCAATGGCATGAACACTAAATTTCCATTTAACTGATGAAATTTTCATGACAAAGCAGTTTTATTTTTGAGCTCCACTTTTCATTAGCCGACTACATGGCTGGTCAGTGCTAAGGTGGCTCTCACAACAGTCTAAATGTGATTGAGGAACAGGCAGATAAAACAAGATAACAGCTATGAGGAGATGAGGAGAAAGGAGCTTAAATGTGTATACAGTGAACAAACACAAAATCTAACTCTATGATCTGGACAATCTTTTTGTTTTACAAAGGCCAGTAACTCTGTAACTGAGAAATCGAGGGCCCTGAATTTGGTACACTGTACATCACTTGGTATATGCCCAGTTTCATGATCCTTACTCAACTGTGGGAAAAATTATGCTCCCGATAGGAAAGGTGGAAAATTTTCAGGGAGCATAAGCAAATTGAAACTTCACCTGCATATTATCATTATACAACCACATACCAATATTTTTATTAAATACATTTAATTGATTTAACTTTCAGAATAAAAAAACATGCCTGATTGTCCATATTAAGCAAAAGATTCAAATACATACTGCGTCCCGGGCGTTTCATTTCTTTAAATAACGTGTGCCGTAATCTGGTATTGTGAGACCACATATTCGCCTCCTTCTTGCTGCTAATTTCATGTCCATGAGTACGATCACGTACATTCTCCACTTCTGACACATTGTTTTTTAGAGCACTAGGAGAATTTAAATGATTCACACTGTTTTCAATTACATGATTAGTCACTTTGTCTTGTTCAATATCGGCTATCACTAGCGGAGATTCGTCCTCTGACATATTTCCATCATCGGAGGTAACAGATTCCGCTAAAAATAAGAAAAAGTCAAATAAATCAATAAGGTTATGAAATCAGCAGATTTTGAATTTTTAAATTAATAAAAACTTTAATTGTTTTTTCATACACACTGATGATATCAAACTTCCTGTACACTGTAAACAAGAGTTCAAACAAAAATCCTGTATTAATCATTAACACTATAACAAGGGTCCAGAGGGTAAGGCTCATAAAAACAATTCAACATCCTACTGAAGTACTTGGATACCATCAGAACTTCATAATCATAAATAATCAGAACATATGACCCAATTATGATTGTAGGCCTTTGGTGCTATCAGAAGAAGATATTACTTTGACTCAAGATAAAAGGAAAGATACTAAATCACTAAGCTCACTTGGCACTTTTGACTCAGGGAGTTAAAAATCAATATTTAATACTAAAACAAGGGTCCACAGGGTTAGGCTGGGAAGACTATTAAACATCCTATTGAAGCACATGGATACTATCAGGACTTCATAACTGTGTCGAACAAGGACGCAGAAGCAGATACAGATTGAGTTATCTCCCTTTGACGTCAATGCCCCCATCAGTATCCCTCCATTTTAAGACAATCAGGTCACTCTACAAACCTGATTGAGGTAAGGTGGAGGTATGGTTTTTGGAAAGTTTGGAAAGTGGATTTAACATTAGAGAAACCAATTTCAAAACTATTCAATTTGCCACCTTTAAGAGAAAACATTAATCATAGGGAATAGTGAATCTTTTTCCTTGGACATGAAATTGACTCCCACGACTTTAAATACAAGTAAAAAAATTTCTGTTCGTAAATATTATTGGGAGACATCCCTTAAACCTACTTGTCGAATCTCATGGATTTTACTTTACAGAAACCAGTTATATATCAAGAGATAGTATGTCAATTTTTTGTGACAAAGCACAGATACACAACAACTAGTAGACATTTCAAATGCTTGTTTGAGCAATACAAATATCATCAGCTTCTTTATCTTTATGAATGCCAAAACTTGATCTTACATTATCACTCTTCCCTTCCATGAAAAGAAAAGCGCCAATGACTTGCTGTATACTTACTCTCCATAGTCTCTGTATCTGACATGGAACTATCTGTATCTGGGGATTGGGGAGCAGGAGAAGCAGGGGGTGTAGATCCAGGGGAGGGAGAACTTGGTCGACGGTACTTGATATCTCTAGGTAAGGGACCTGAAAAAATTGATGAATCAGTGAAATTAATTTGATAATCTTTTTTCTGACTGACAAGATTTAAATTTTGATAATAAGTATTGTTAATGGACAACAATCAAATATGTTATCCTAAATTGATGATGCAATAATTGACAGTAATATTTTTTTTAAATCCATCATTAAATTTGAATTGTTAAAATGTAAGGACAATATTATATACATTGTTAAGATATTCAAGATTATTGCTGTCTCCTACAAACAAGATTTAACCATTAGTTACCTGCTTTCCGGCGCTTTGGTCCTGGGGAAACTGATGGACTCTCATGATGTCGTTTTTTCACTGGCTGCTGACCAAAATTGGCTTCATCTGCCTCATCTACCATATTGAAATTCTGTGAATGTAAATGAAATGTGGAGATAAGTCTAACTTTTAGGTTCGTATGTGATGCCAAACAACAAATAGTGAACCATACTGGCAGCCATGTATGTTCATTAAATGCAGTATCAGCTAGATCAGGCCTACCTAGGATACACTTTATACTTGTTGGTGTATCAGTGTTACAACCACTGATGATTTATATTGTTGTTTTCATGTTTCCAATAAAAAAGCACAATAACTAACCTACCAGTTAAATTTATAAAACAGATATAAAGTCACCTTAAATATATGTACAGAAGTATACAACACTGAAATCATTAGGACTCATTGACACAAGGCATATTAACACCAAAGAAGTTTGACTCAGCTGAAAAAGTTTTTACATAATTCTGAAGAAAGGCACTTGAGTATGTATTAATTGGTTTACTCTTACTGTGATAGAGACAGCCTATTCTTTGTCAAATAAATTGTTTAGTGAACAATTAAAATCAGAATTCTCAAGTTCTCTACTGCCTTATACAAGTGGGTATAATTGTTGGTCTGTATGACAAAGACGAAGCAGTGAAACATTAGAGTTGTCTCCCTTGAACCGTCCTGCCATCATCAGTATTCCTCCATTTTAAGACAGACAGGTCACCCTACAAACCTGACTGAGGTAAGGTGGAGGTCAACACTGGGTTTAAAGGTCAAACTAAGCTTATTTAGGCATTACAGGCATTGCTTTTCAACTTAGCCAAAATAAACTAGCGCAATCAATGGTTGTCAATCTCTATGGCAACAATCAATGTAAAATGATTCATTGTTGTATCTACACCACTTACCAGGGCTGTAGAATGTAGTATACTTATGGAATAAGAAGCCATTTAAAACCCCACTGAACAATGTTGTAAAATCAGTCAGGGGATTTGTTTTATTTTTCATGTCCATGAACTGTTAAAATAAGTAGATTTAATGGGTTTTATCTACCCACAAAATCAAGTTTCTATAAAATAGTTTTTTTGAAAACCAACAAAAAGATATGATTTCAAAGTAGTCTCCTGTTATACTCACAGGTCTCCTAGCAACCATATTCATAAAATTAACCAGTTTTTAACAAGTGAAGAAAGACACTGTACCTTGACTTTAAATGGATTTCCAAACATGTGCACCCGTGACGGCTGGTTTTCCAGCTCCCGAAGTAATGGTGGCTGTTTCTTCAGGTAATCTTGATAATTACCCATTTGTTGTATAGGAACATTATGCATCTGATCTAAAATTTTAAAGAGACAAGATTTTGTAAATTTATACCAGAGCATGGAGTACAAAAAAGACTAATATCTAAATGTCATACAAAGAAAAACAGTTAAGATCAGTGTTTGTCACAGACTTTTCTTCCTGTATCCTACATATTCAATCCAACTGTGCATTCCTCTGTGACTTTCTATCAAGCATCCGAGACAGAGCTGACAATTTATAGTACATCTAATCATATATTTCATGGTAGATCAGTATTGTATATGAGTCAAACTTACCATGATCAACCAATTTCGTATTGCTGTATGATTTCTGTAAGAAATTCATTTTCATACGGGAAATTTGGTCAAGTAAACGTGAACGCGGAATGTCATATGGGTTACGGTAATACTGAGGAAGAATGCTAGGATCAGCCACAGCCATTGTGAATGTATTGAAGTCCGTTAGTTCCTGTTTTAGGCTCTGAATATTTCCTCCAACATTTTGCAGTAACTGGTTAAAATCTTTTCTTTGTAAAATTGATGTCTTGGTCCTGTAAACAAAAGTAAATATTTTTTATGTTAACTTTGCTAAAATTAAAACACAATATTTCAATGTACCAAGTTATTTCCTTGTCTCATCTGACTAGGGATAAAAAGATTGATTTTCAAATATTTCATGTTTGTTGTACTGGTTTTAAGATTCAATTTATTTGCCATGTAAAATTTGAAATTTCAATTAAGTAAAAAAAACCTAGTCTAACCTGCAGAAGCTACTTCAGATTCTTTAGATGACATGCATTATAACGTCCACAAACATTTTTAAATATGAATAATGTTGTATCATAAATCTAGAATATTACTCTATGTATTTAACTTATGTGATTGTATCTTTATATGTCAATGTAAGTGGATATACTTTAAATCAGGGTGATGTTGTTAATTAGTTGTAAATCTAAATACATTAACCTGTGTAAATAAAATAATTGATCTACAAAACAGTATGTATTAGGCCTAATGTCAAAATTATTTTCTTTAATCCTAATTTAAAAGAACACTAATTACTGGATAATGGATGATACAGAATTTTTTATACAGACATCTGAAGTTTTAAATATATTAGACATTACTAGTTACCTACCGTGAGTCAACCTTGATTCCATCATTGAGGGGGACTTTCTGACCAACTGAGGCTATCAATCGGTCCATCTCCACCTTGGCCTAAAAAATAGGAACAGTTCCTGATCTTCTCCATTTAATCCTTTAAACATCTCTCCTCAAACACTTAGGAAGGGCAATCTTATTTTCACATGCAAAAAATATGACACTTCCAATTTTTTACCACAAGATATTCATCAACACTAGCACTTATCATATTTTCAGAACTCACAAAACCTCTATTCAAATAAAGGCAATTATGGAGTTATTGGGTGTAATATGTCCGTGTTGCTATGGATTCTGATTCTGGAGGGGACCCTAAAATACAGTTGTTTAAATGCTAGAACCATTTTCATACCATGTGAAATAAATTTACATAATACAAAAAAAAATTCTCTATGAATCAAGGTAAGCCAAAAATATTAAAGAAGCAGATTGGGCACCACTGACCAATCATACTGACCAATCATAGGTCATTGGGCACCACTGACCAATCATAGGTCATTGGGCACCACTGACCAATCATAGGTCATTGGGTACCACTGACCAATCATAAATCATTGGGTACCACTGACCAATCATAGGTCATTGGGTACCACTGACCAATCATAAATCATTGGGCACCACTGACCAATCATAAATCATTGGGCACCACTGACCAATCATAAATCATTGGGCACCACTGACCAATCATAAATCATTGGGCACCACTGACCAATCATAAATCATTGGGTACCACTGACCAATCATAAATCATTGGGTACCACTGACCAATCATAGGTCATTGGGTACCACTGACCAATCATAAATCATTGGGTACCACTGACCAATCATAAATCATTGGGTACCACTGACCATTCATAAATCATTGGGCACCACTGACCAATCATAAATCATTGGGTACCACTGACCATTCATAAATCATTGGGCACCACTGACCAATCATACTGACCAATCATAGGTCATTGGGTACCACTGACCAATCATAGGTCATTGGGTCAAATCATTGGGTACCACTGACCAATCGTAAGTCATTGGGTACCACTGACCAATCATAAATCATTGGGTACCACTGACCAATCATAGGTCATTGGGCACCACTGACCAATCATAGGTCATTGGGTACCACAAACCAATCGTACTGACCAATCATAAATCATTGGGTACCACTGACCAATCATAAATCATTGGGTACCACTGACCAATCATAAATCATTGGGTACCACTGACCAATCATAGGTCATTGGGCACCACTGACCAATCATAAATCATTGGGTACCACAAACCAATCGTAATGACCAATCATAAATCATTGGGTACCACTGACCAATCATAAATCATTGGGTACCACTGACCAATCATAAATCATTGGGTACCACTGACCAATCGTAAGTCATTGGGTAACACTGGCCATTCATAAGTCATCATGTAGCACTTATCAATCAAACGTTGTGTAGCGAGATCAAAAATCATTGTTCTTCTGATTTGATTCTCAACTTTAAGCAACATTTATATTTCTCATGTTTCTAAAATTCCGTCCACCAATTTAAAAGTGCCGCAGGTTTTCTTGACGATCCTGAGGGTTTTTGAATTGATTTTGTGTTGAGACTAATATTAGGACATTCCTGTATCCATTTCCTGAAACATTAATCTACTACCAACTTCTTAGCAACAAGACTCTTCTAATCAGTGATAATCTTTTACATAAATAATTTACGTTCCAAATCAGTGACAATATTATACCTGATTTTTTAGTTTTTTCAAGTAGGTTATGACTGTGTAACTAAGGTTATTGTCCATTGTATCAGGCACCAGGTTTGGAGCTCCCATTCGTGCCAATGCTCGCCTCAAAGGCTGAAAACCAAATGAAAAATAACAATGCTATTAATATCCAATTCAATAAAAAATCCTATTGTGATGAGGTCACACGTATGATATTCAAACACTAGGAAATGAAGTATTTCTTATGAAATATCAACAGATGTTCTGTGAAATGTAAAGCCATTGTTTCCATTTCAGTCTATAGTATTGTAATATTCTACTGTTAATGTTTCCATTATAGAGGCATAAGAATTCCCCTCAGCCATCATAAATCACATCAGAAAGGCCTTACGGTTAACTTACACATCAAAACAATGATGCAAGACGGAAACATTTATACGATACATATAATATGACACACGATAAACTCATATGCTGTTATATGAACCAGGACATATTGAATGGTTGATATAATTGATATTCATGTACAATTACTAAACCAACTTATGGCTGGTCATTTGTTGCAGTGTCATTTTTGCTATTAGGCGATATATTAACCTGACAATGAAAATATATTAAGTAAAATAAAGAGAAATGTGTATTAAATGTCCTTTTACAGACAGCAAAATTTTAATTCAGTAAAATATAACTTGATCATTTTTGCCTTTTTTGTGCAAATAAAAAAAAAACCCCATACCCCAGCATAATATGGTGGCATCGTCTTAATGTACCCATCAAACTGCTGTCGCCATTTAGGACATATCTTCAGTTTATGTACTTTAAAAAGTTCATCTGCAAAGACAAAATTAGTAAAATATTTCAGATTAATGACAGATGCAAGATGAAAAAAAGAGATGAAGTGATTTCTAGTTGTCATCTGGTACTGCAGCTACAAGGTAAGGGTAGTTGGTACAGTATGATACAGTGTTCAACAAAAACCGTATACAAGTGTATTTAACATGTGCAATATTCACTAATTGCAAAATTAAAATCTTGCCTTCTTTACTTGATATGTAGCAAACAACAGCAATTCATCAACTTTTTCAGGCATATAATATTCCTTAGTTCCTATCTTATCAATTCTCAATCAATTAGACGAGAAAAAATCCCCGATACATTCCATTAATTCCTTTAATTCTCCGACAACCTTTTGAACAAAAGTTGAAATTTTGATTGATAAAGATCTAGTTACATTTTGATCCTTAGACAAATATGCACGTCTTTAAAATATTTTAAAAATGGTACTGAGTACGATTATCAAAAACGACATCAGTGAAAAGAGCTATATTCAAATGTAATGAGTTTTGATAGTCAAAGAAAATTAATTTGTTTACATTGAACAATTAATGTCAAAGAGGACATTTTGTTAATGTAAAACAGCAAGACAATCTATAAAATGTGACTTCAATTGTCTTCGTGTAATTAACATATTTTCAATATTGGTAATGAGACTGAACGGCCTCACTTGATTGATGGATGTCTCCGGCCGACTGTTCCATGAGATGGCTTCCTGCCGTCACATGATAAGCATGGTGTCGGAGGAAGTGTCTCCCCCGTAAAGTCAGATCGAGGCTGCATCGAGAAGACAAAGCCATGGCTTTAGAATAGAGTTATCTTCCCCTAGGTCTATATCACATTAATTTTAGCAACAATGGTGGTTTTAGAATAGAGTTATCTTCCCCTAGGCCTATATCACATTAATTTTTAGCAACAATGGTGGTTTTAGGACAGAGTTATCTTCACCTAGGCCTGCATCATATTAATTTTAGCAACACTGATCAAACATCCAACAGGCAGAACACAAAGGAAGCAGGGAATTTCACTGTGTACAGAGTTTGCTATTAAAGTAAAATACATAGCATGAATTTAGATCACCAATTTATGTATCTAAATACAAACAATGTACCTATAATAGGATGCACAAAACATTATGGAGTCAGATCAGATAAAACACTTATGCAATATCACCTATGGCATAACAAAACATTGTCTCAGAACCTTCACAAAGACTTGGCTTATACAAGTCCTTACTTATCCACTATAGTAACTTTCACATAACTAAAGTATTTTCCATACAACTATCGCCTGGATCCATGGCCCAATCAAATCTACCAACAATTTCTAGTCCATTACTTTTACCCTGACAATGTTAACACCCCAGTATTTCTGCTGTTGCCCAAACAGTTTACCCGAGTCAAATGTTCTTCTCTGTAAACCAAGTTCAGTCTTCAAGAAGATAGACAGCAGTACAATACCATGCCACTCCTACTTGTGACCCTACTTGTTTATATCTCTCAACCTCACTTCTAGGATTCAGTCTATCCACCTTAACATTGCCATGTCACCCCGTTTGATCTACCAATGGGATACAGCTATGAAAGGTTACTATTCTTATCCCACACATGTTTGACCCAGTTCTGTTATTACACTCCATGTAACCCCTGCTTGTTCAACTCCCTCACTCAAAGGCCCCATCCTTGCCTATTTTTCACCCTTTCATGTTACATTTTTCAATTCTGGGCTCTATTCATGTTTGTTTTTCAGTGTTGTGACCCCTCTGACTCTTGAGTCCAATTTGGGTTTGTCCTTTCACAGTTACGCAACCCCTCACATTTCTTGTCCTTATTTTGTTTTTCACTGTCCATCCTGATATTCCAAGAGTTACAATCACTTTCCCTCTCAGTTTTCCTGGAACATGTCATGACAAATTTAAGGCAAGGGCAGTTATTATTTTGGTTCCAGGAGAAAAAAACTGACTAATCACAGGCTGGTTATGCTCCTTTTGATTGTAAAGGAGAGACATCAAGAGATGTGTTTGATGTGCAGCAAACGATCAGACTAGTCTTTCGTCTTGTCTACAAAGTGTGGCACATAGAACCTTCAGTTTTGCTGCGGCATGTTCCAGTGTGCGGAGAGCGAAGGTGATTGTAACGCCTGGATTGTCGAGGACGTTCACTGTCATAAAACCCCTGATACTTCTGGGACTCAATTCCTACTCGTTCATAAGACCTCTCTAACTTCTGGGCCTAATTCATGTCTTTTTTCACTCTGCTATACAACAGTGCTAGACTCACCAAGGAGAGGCAGCAGTACAGGGTAGTTGTATGGCATGATGAAGAGGTTAACACAGGAGAGAGCACTGCTGGCCTTTAGATATCCAAACGGATGTCCTGTATCGCTATATTTAGCACTGTTACTGATGAAAACCTACAATAAACATTTAGGAGTAACATACTGTAGTAATATCAAAAACATTTGGTTTTTCGAAATTTTTAAATAAAATTTTCATTAAAACCTCACTAAATCAATTCTTCAAAATAAACTTCCACAGCAGACAATTCTGTATGACTTTTATTCTGTTATATATAGTATGTATCTGTATATTCCTAAGCTTTTAAGTAATCAGTCTGAACTGTTATGTTTCAATGTGCTACAGGACTGGTATCTCGATTCTTTGAATATGTTGTCATACGAGCTTACCTATCAGAATATTTCATACTTATTTCCAACTGTAAGGCAAAATCTTCTGATATTTTTCTCTCTTGTTTCACTTTTGTGGAAAGTAATAGTAACCTGTGACAACCATGGAATATTTTCCTATCTGCATAATTGGTGTACATAAACCAATTTGACAAAAAAATGGTGTCTCACCTGCCAACAAGTGTTAGGAAGCCTGCGCTCAAGGATAAACTGGGTCAGCGGTGAAGGTTCTAGCTCATATTTATCAAATGGGAGATTCTCAATCACCATTGGTTCACAATCAGTACAGCAGAATTTGACAACAGGCTGGGCTGACCGTGGAGGCTGCAACAAGATCAAAATCCCATCACCTTTGTGTTAATGCTGCTTTTCATGTTGAAACCATGTATAGTTCCATAAAGGTGTGTGCTGATGTTAGAGGTAATCTGTTCTAAATCTTTTTTAAAATCAAACTCCCAAAACAGGATTTTACCATAATCATATTAAGACCAATCACCGAAACAAATTCTGTAAACCTACCAGAGTAGCACTTGAAATGTCTGGCCAGTATGCCTCAGGAATTGGCCAATGACCCACAGAGTACCCCTTTTGTGCTGATCTTGGCACATATATAAGCTTCCTGCAGTTCTGCCATTGACTACTGCCGGGCATTTGTTGCTGTAATTGTTGTAGAACTGCTTTCTTGTCATCTTCCACTTCCTGCTGTATAGGCTTGTTCACATCCTGGTTCTCTGTATAAATAATTATGGATATTTTTTATATAAATCTTCATGGATATCATTTCAGTAGATTTCATACTTCTTGTAAAAAAGCTAAGCATTGTCTTTAAAAAGCCAGTCCTCCGTAAACATCGATTAAATTGTTGTTCAAGGGAACAATACTGAACTTTTGACTTAACTTCTGGAGTCACACTTAAAACTACTCTACAGCCATTACAAGGTACAGCAAGGAATTAAATAAAGAAAAAAAAGATGAATTTCTTAATAACTGGTGGCTGAAAAATTAAATATCCCTTTAACAGTATGCCACTTCTGGAAGTTTAAACCAACTCTACAAAAATGTTATGTACGACAAATAATGTTGCTGTAGTCAATATATGCGAAACTGACCTCATTTCAATATGGTGTGGATACTTAGAGCCAAGTAACACCTTAAACTTATGCTCCAGTAGTGCTTCAGCAACTCCATTAGGCAAGACAAACAACCGATCATATTTTATAGAAGCCAGGTCACTCCTCTCAATCATTATGAAAGCAAAACTAAATGTTCTTATTTGAAACACCTACCTTTAGAATTTCCATTGCTGTCAACAATATCCATTTTTCCTGCAAAGAAAATTTGCCAAATTGTTTCCAATATCTGGTATTTAAAGAATGATGCATATAAACCAACTCTCAGAGAAATGAAACCTATCTCTACAACAATTTACATTTAGTTAATCAACTATAAATAAAATAACACTAACCTTCCATCAGTACTGGTGTAGGCTCAGGTCCAATCTTCTCAAAGTTGATGACCACACCACTCTGAACTTTCTGTACTAAACTGTCGAGTGTCGCATTCAACATCTTCTGGGTGTACACAGCATATGACCGTCCTGTTATTAGCATGTATTGTATATATAGTTTCAAATATAATGTACACACATTGTTAAAAACATGATTTCATCAAAAAACAAAACTATTATCAGTATCAAAATATTGTCAGCTTGGTGAGGTGAAATTGGTGAAAACAGATGTTCAATTTCTACAAGAACTTAAAGATCCTTCTGTGATCTTTTTTTAATAAAAACACCATATGAAATCCTACCTTTTCCAGAATATCTTTTTAAATAAGATGAATTAGCAAAATGAAACCATTTCAATATTTTACATTTCTAAAATATGTTTGACTATTTCACTTTCACAACGAGGAAGAATGGAGCAGTGTACTCTTACCTCCAGTCACCTCACACATTGCGTCCAGTGGGTGGTTTTCTGCTGAAGGGATGTACATATTTCCAGTCATGTCCATTGGAACACTCCCTGGAATCTTAAGCACTAAACCAAAAATACGCTGGTCCCATCTAAACGGCTCCTTTGTCAGTTCTGACCCAGGAACTGTTGACAGCATTGGAAGATTGAGCTGAAAGTGTGAAAAAAATCAATGAAATATTAAGTCATTTTTATAAAAAATGTCTTTTTCATTTTCATTATGTTTAAAAAGTCAAGTCAACAAGTAAGTAAAATTAATAAAAATAAACTTCAGTACAAAGCATTATTCATTCATGAGGTTGCAAAAACAATTTTAGGTACCAAATCTCGGATCTGTTTAACAATAGACTTAAATTGAACAAAGCATAAGATTTGCATGCCATTCTTCGTTGTTCAACAGTGAAAAAATATTAGTATTATAAAGGTGACAAATAATTCACAATTTGATATCAGTTTCCTTCTTCAAGCTGATAGATGATACACCATTCAATTGTTAGTATAAACACTAAATTAGATGGGTAACATATCCCCTCAAGATATTCATGTCTTGAATGATTTTTGTTTTGTTTGGTAACAAGTTGGAAAGGCCTATATCTACCAGGGTTTTTAATCATTAGGGAGTAAACTGTTCAAATTAATGTAATATTATGTATGATATTTATGCATCCTGTGATATTCCAATCCAAATTGTTATCTGTGATATCTTGCTTTCTTACTACAGGTTTACTATGTATATACAATATGTAACTAACACATATATACTGTATTTTACTAACAAGAGGACCATATGGAAGATTAGCCATTGGCTAAATATGTAATCCTCAGACAATAAAGTTTATTATTATTATTATTATAAACACTTTCAATGCATTCACACTAACATCTTGTACCAATATGTTATAGTATTGTGTTTGGTTTTATATTCTTTTCAAAGTCAGCATCAAGGATTACTAACAGCACCTGTGTTATATCAAAGATAATTGTATTGAACAGTGTATGCATCTTATCAGAGATAAATGCATACTTATAGCCACAATATCAAATTGAGATTTGTTACACAAACTCTCTTAACAAAAGAGGCAATTGAACAATAACACATGGTTTTATTTGTTTATATGACATTGATAAAGAATACAACTTATTCTGTGTTCCCGATTTCTCCTGAATGATGGCAAAAAAACCCTAAATTGGAGAAATTCAAGACTTAAACCCCTCAGTTTCAAGCATTTTCCTATATAAAACATAGTTAGGGATACATTGACCTCAGTTTTAAAAGGCAAGGGGGAACAATGATATTTTTAGCAGACTCAAATTAAATAGTAGACAGAATGAAATGGTCTTCATGTTGATTTTCTCTCCTCATTTTTTGGGTTCTGTAAAAATTATTGATCATGAACAATTCTATATCAATTCTATTAGGCCACATAATATATTGACCTCAAATTCTTACAATGGCTTCAATCAGAGTTTAATTTTAAAAAAGCTTAATATGTTTGTTTGATAAAGTGAGACATGGATAACAAAGGGTGGCTAAGTGGAGAATTAAACTAAATATTAGTAAACCAAGACCTGAATGAGGGTGAGAGGATAAGAGAATACAAATATGGAACCCTTCAACAAAGTGACAAATAGACTACAGAATTAGAGTGTTTCATTGACTACCACCTTCATCAGACATAGGACCAGTGTGGAGCATGCTAACACCGAGATATGTAGTGTGCAGGGCTCTCGATCTGCCAGATTTGGGACCGATATTCAGCTCCATTCCCAATGCAAAATAGTATCTTTTTTTCCCCAATTAAGTCCGGAAGTTTTCCCAATTCTAAGGAAAACACCATTATTTTTCCCAATTCTAAGGGCCCGGGCCCCAGTCACAAAATTGGGTGTGTGAGATGGTAAATATCGACCAACTTTTTCGACTTTACTAGAATCCTATGCACACCAAGGCTGAAAATAGTGTTACAAGGAAAACAGATTTTAGACCATAAAATACACACGATTGTTTTACACTTTGTCAGAGATGTGCTAGAGTCATTGGCCCCCTTGTCTCTTGTTAGTTGTTTCTTGTAACTAGTGAGGGGGTGGCGAGGGATTGCTACTAAAGCAGGAAATGTGTGTGATTATAAGACAGATTACACAGGTAATGAAACTAATGACGGGATGGAAGTGAGTAGGGTGGCTAGTACAAGATCAACTGTATGTGATTATAGGACATATTATGCAGGTAACAAAACAACTAACAAGGGGGTGACGAGGAGGTGCTACTAAAGCAGGAAATGTGTGTTATTATAAGACAGATTATACAGGTAACAAAACAACTAATGAGGGGGTGGGGAGGGGGTGCTACTAAAGCAGGAAATGTGTGTGATTATAAGACAGATTATACAGGTAATGCAACCAAGTGACTAGAGAGGTAATCCTTACCTCTGGCTGTACACCATTTGTGGTGGTCAGTTTACCACCATCTGTTATAACAATAATGACAGCTGGCTCCAGGTAAAATGGGCAGCGTCCCTGCAAAAAAATCACAAAAAAAAAAAATCATTAGACCCATTTTTCTGGTAGCGCATTGATCTTGAGTGGTACTATAAGAAACATTTATGACCCTTCAAAGCCTTACTATGTCTTGATAAAAGGGACAAAAATTGATTACTTCCTCTTCATTTTGATATCAGATGATGAAACAACCATTTGTGTGCAGCTAAGTTAAATCTTGCAACAAAGTGACAGTTTCTAAATTATCCTGACCATGATAACAAGCGCCTACAGATCTACAGTCCCTTCATAAGAAAGAGTTGCTCAGTGGAGAAGAAGGGAAGACAAGGGTCTTCTTGTCAAGAGGACATTTAGTCGCTTATCTGTTTTTATTTTTATCAGACACAAACAACCCTGATCTCTTATAGTACATTTAACATATAGTGGAAAATGGGATTTAACACTTTATTCTCTTCCTAGGCCTGAAGTGCTCAGTATACCTATTCCTTGACCAAACTTGCAGATGGTTAAAAGAATCTGTAAAAAGTGAACTAGTGTACTAATTGAAAGATAGAGAAATGACCTACTGATCTGATTGTCCATTCATTATTTATCATATCTTGTACTCTTACATTATCAGAAATATCTGTCATTAATGCATTAATCTGGTACATGATCAGGCATAATAAAGTAGATAATTTTATTAATATATTTGATTTTCACAATACAATGTTTTCACTATTGTCAAAGTGAATTCTCACGCGCAATGCTGGTCACCCTAACCTCTGATCGTGTGATGGTGAATATCTTTACCTGACCATATGTATCAATACCACTTTGCATGCGGTTGATGTTCAGTAGATCGAAGGCATGTTTTAGAGATGGACCAAGTGATGAAAGACCAACAGCTGTCAGATTCTTGAGTTCATTGATAAATGTTGCGTGGCTTTCTTTCCATCCCGCCTATAACAAAAACAGATTCATTGAATATTCTACAAGGACAAGATATCAAGTTTGGAGGAACAGTATTTCTTTCAAACCAAATAAAGTATCTCAAAACCGAGTCTAGATTCTAGAAATATGTGAAGGCCAGTAAATGACTTATAGCTCATAATGACATGGTATCTCCATTCTGCATGAATCACCAATTATGCACACATCAAAAATACAATTTAACAATTAAAAATACAAACAAGTTTCATTTCTTAGATATTTAAACAATACTCATAGAAGTAATTAAATTTGTTAGCGTAGTTCCCAGTTATACTATAAACACGTTGTCCTTATGAATTGATCTATTATCTTGTTTGACTGTTTCTAAACAACCTAAAGCCAGTATGGGAATTCATGCAAGTCCCTTTGACAGAGGAACACAATATCAGTGATTACTGGGACCAAAATATTTTAACCCTGGAACATGCTTTTCCTTTGGGACTCAAATTTTGCAAATCCTTTATATACGTTTGTAACTCGACTCATCAAAATTTTGGAATCGGTGCTCTGGATCAGGGCTCGCCTGAAATGTCCTATAAAAATTACTGGATACTACATTGATTTAAATTTTCACCATTGTATGGGGTGTTCCTGGATTTTAATTTTTTTCTCATGGACTGACCACATTTGAGTTTTGTCATTCTCCAAAACACTTGATAGTTTAACATTTAAATTGTCCCTTTTCTACTTGGCGTTTGTACCCGAATGAGGTAATTAACCTATCAGGGACAAAAAAATAATTGAGATGTGATGCATGTTTTTTATTTTGGATATAAAAACTTTTTGAACATGGAAAATTTGTCTAGATTTGTTTCGATGAATAAATATGAAAAAAACAAAAACACCCCAAAAAACAAAAAAGAACATTGCAAAAATTTTATTCATTGGTTTAACCTATATTATTCTGGTACATGCTGATTTGCTACAGAACAGTTTCAGTTCATAGATTTAATGTCATTGCTAAATTCACTCAAATTTCATATGACTTTAATTTCTTAGTCATATTCACTAACTCATGCAACTATTCTGCCATTCTTGGATGCTCATTAGTCATGCGTGTGCAGCTGCTGCTGCTAATGATTACCCTTTATGTACCCCCATTATTTATGTAAATTAGCTCCAGGTTGCCTGGTATTTACCCACAATGCATCATAAACCTCAGATCAAGGAGAAAATGGCGGTGTAGGGAAGGAAGTGTACGGCTCTTCAAACTTGTTGTTTTATTCAACGAAAGTTAAGTTATAACGGTTTATGGAACGGCTGCTCGTTTTGTTGAAGTTCGCTCCACCTAAACGACACGAACCCGTTGACACCATACACCGGATTAGCTTCCATTTACCTTTATATTTGACGGCGGGTCCTCTAACGTCAGCAGCATGTATCTATCCCATCTGCTGTTTGCATCTCGGGACCTGATCTAAACAAAAAATTACGGAAATTAAAATAAAGAATACGCGATTGTTACATCTTATTAGATCAGTGAAAACAAAGCCGACCTTATCTGCGTAATTTACCTTCATGAAAGATTCTACGGAAGCTTTCGAAATGTCAATCAAAGATGTCCCCAAATATGTACGCTGATTCATCGACGCACTCGTGTCGACTAGAAAGAGAATTATCGTCATTTTCAAGAATGGTTAACAAGGAATCATTCGAGAAGTTTTCGTTGACAAACGACTCGTATTAACGGTCGTACGGCCATCACACCGTCCGCTTCCGACAAAGACGCACCGCAGAGTGCTGCCTTTCGAAGCAGCTAGCACGCCACGATAACTCGTCACGTGACATTCTCGCCATTAACAATTTCATTGGCCAGTCGGGGGGATCTGTGGGAGTAATCATTGTTTAATGTATCCTGATGAAATTGACGCTAATTTCTTATCTTATTAATTAGATCAAATCAAAGGAAAATGATGTAGGATGAATAACGTATTAGAAAATTGACAAAAATAAATGTTTGTATTTTAAAATGTCACAGTTTCAATGGTACCTATTGAAATTGAAAAAAATGTTTTCCCCCGCAATTTTCCTTTCCCGTTTCATGGCATACAAGTACTGTTGACAGACTACACTGTACCCTAGACAGGTTTGATGATTCATTATTCGTGTCGAACATGAGATATTTAGTTAAAGTTTTAATATGCACTGAAATTCATGGAAATATAATAGTTATTCTCCTTTTACAGTCGTCACAAAACCCCTTTTGTGTCGTTCTCAAAATGCCCGGATGATTGATCTCCTAAAAATAATGTTACCACGTGGTCAGATGTTTATTATTTATAAACGAAACACGTGCTTGAAATCGTCACTCTAACAACGTGAAACATATACTCACACTTATTTTTTCTTTAGTTTTCATTCTGTCATTTAAGAAATCCTTACTAACCTTTTCATTGACAAACAGCTGTTTGGTTGTAGACATACACAATCATTACTTTTCAATTAAAACAGCAATTTAATGTTATGCAAAAAAATGAAGTCATTGATTTTGATTCAAACATGTATGTAACGTTACTGCCATTCCATGTCAAAACAGATAGATGAGAAACATTTTCAAATTCTCATAACTATCAAATATGGACTCAAAAGGAAATGAAAATATACAATTTGCTACTTTAAATGAACTTGGTGTAGATATAAGTAAATCATAGATGAAATGGAGAGAACTCACTTCTGTTCTGAGTTACAGAAGTTAAAGAAAAAAATCAATAAAACACCTATAATAAAACTCTTAGCTATATAATACATCTGTTGTAATAATAACAATCTATATTCTACCTCGGATGTATATGAATTGAATTTAAATGAAATGATATGTTTATTCAATTTTTTTTTATTTATTGAAGGAAACTGCTATTGGCTATTACGTGGCAATAATTTTGAATGTTACTTGTGTAATAAAAAAGGTGGTTAACTTACAGGACTAGATGAACTCGCAGCCATCTGTTTAGTCTCTTCTCCTCTTACTTTATCACAATCTTATAGCTAATGGTTCATCAGTAGTGTTACAAACATAATAGTGGAGGCATAATGGAAGATGGAAATGAAACAATGTGGTTTCTATATATGTGATTATTTAATAAACAGTTAGTAATTGCTATGAAAGCTGGACATGAAAATCAATTCCTTATCTGGTACTTGATATGTTTTTCATAAGTCTTGTTGTTCTGCAATACATCATAATACATTGTCATATAGTTAAAGTTTATGGAAAATCCCTTTTTATATAGGTTGATAATCATATATATATTTCGTAATTGTATCATTCAACTTTGAAAAGAAAAACACATGAAAATAATTAAGTATTATTTCCTGTGGTTCTTTTGGAAGTTTAATATATATGTATACTAAACCAACCTCCCCCAGAAACATTATTTGTTACGTCCCCATGTGGTTACAATTGTGGCTTTAAAATTCTGCTGAGAGCATTGAACCTAATAGCCTATAGAATAGTATGGTCTGCAATAAATTTTAAACTGCATTTGGATACTATAAGCTTGTACTTATCTGAGAATGACTGACATATATCTTGTCAGGATTTCTCCACTTTTGGATTCACACAGCTAGAAACTCATTTGAGATAGTACTGTTCGATCTTTGTGAAAGTGTACTTTTGTTCAAAAACCAGTAGGAAGTGTACAAAATCTTGAAAGAAATGGAGGCAGGGGTCATGATGATGAATTTCATTGATCAATTGCCCTGAACTTGGAACCATGAAACATCAATTAAGCTCAGGATTTGTCAAACTGACCTTTGTGTAAAGGTTTAGATATGACTTCATTAGAGTGATGTCACAGAGTTGGTGGGGGATTTTCTTTTGATGATAATGGTCACCAAAATAAAAGTCCTTTACCTTTACATTTGTAAAAATCTTGATCAAATTCCAGCAAGTGAAGCTCCTCATGTGATGATCAATTCCTTTAAACAAGTTATTTTATAATCTAATAATGGACTGACAAAAAAGTCTTAAATGTTGGTAACACATAAGATTGTAATAACAGCCATGAATTCATCACCATCTCTTACACTATATACCTCTGTTCAAATATGCTTCACAGTTGTCTGATGAACATGATCATGAAGTCAGCAAAAGTTCACACATAGATTTTGAAATGGGTTATGAACATATAGCATGTTATTTGTACATGTGTCATGATTTTATTCCAGACTCCTTCAACAAATGGTTGACACGTTACATTAAGCCATCATTTCCATATCAGAATTACTTTCCATTGGTTTGTATTGAGATTAAAATTGTGGTCTTGAAAATCATGAGTTTTTCGTTTATTATTTAGATGAAGAAGAAAACCTCTGATGGTTGCTGGCTTGTTCTCATGGCTCTAGTTGGGTTGGCTGTACAGAATGTTTCGTCGTCAGTGAACTGTCCTAACCTATGTCAGTGTGTAGTTGGTGATTCTGAAGCCTTCATCGTGGACTGTGTAAACCAGAAGCTCACAACTTTCCCCGAATCTGTACCGGTCATTTCAACAAAACTTAACATCAGCAGCAATACAATTACTCGCTTAATAGAACTTAAACAGGGAAATATTTTATTTTCTTCTGTCACAGTTTTGGACATAAGTAATAATGTTCTGGAAGAGATTAGTGCAGATTTCTTGAAGGCGTTTCCTAATTTAGAATATTTATATTTAAAACAAAATAAATTAAGAGAAATTCCTGATTTTTTACCTGAAACAATGGTAGTACTACATGCAGGTATAAATATGATAACAAGTCTGTGTAACTTAACTCGGAGTCCTGTGCGAGAGCTCTACTTAAGTAATAACAACATCAATCTTGGCAGCAAGAGCCTCAGTGAACAAATGGAAAGAACCTGCAGTACCACTTTTGAATTCCCGAATCTTGAAGTTTTAGACCTGGCAGGGAATCAGATAACAAATATAGACGATGAAACTTTCAGCAGATCTCCAAAATTGAGGCATTTATCTCTATCAAAAAACAGGATAGCAAATGTGTCTTTTGTTAAGGAACTGAATGCAGTTGAAGTTTTGGATCTAAGCAACAACTTGATTTCAGGGTATGAAAAACACGTATTTGAGAATTTGAGTAAATTAAGATATTTATCTTTAGCATTTAATAACTTCATAAGTCTGCCTGGCTATTTCCCGACTCTGGAGTGGCTGGACATGTCGTTCAATAGTATCTCCCACTTGGTTGAGGATATTGATAAAGATGGTCTTTATCCTCATGATGTTTTCCTTTTAGGAGGTAATCCATTTCACTGTGACTGTCATTTACAATGGGTGAAAGACTTGTATGACTTAAGAATTTATTTATTGAAATATATAGATGTAAAAATGGAAAAATATGTTCCTGTTTGTGCAACACCTAATCATTTAGCTGGAAAGTCATGGGACTTACTTGACACTGAACAGTTTGTGTGTTCTGACAAAATCAGGAGCCCGGCAAAGATGGCTGAAACAGCTAACAAAGATTATCATTGGTCTCCAGAACTACACACAAATTTTGTAGGACAGACTTACATCAAATTAAGTTGGGCCCCAATAAAGGTAGATTTAAAATCAAAGTTAAGGGAGACAATTTTGACATACCGAAAATTTGGTGGACGTAATGAATGGATTGAGGTGTTAGTCACAGGTAATATGGGTGTTTACACTATCAGGGATTTGAACCCGAACACAGCATATGTCATCTGTCTGAAAGGTGATGTTTCCCTGGACCATAGCTGTGTGGAAGTGGTCACTTCTGGTCAGTTTTGGCTACAACAGTATGTATTCTTTGGTTGGATGGCTGCACTTGTTTTTATCTGCATTGTGGCCATTTTGATCATGTGCTTTTGTTTTTTCAAAAATGACAGTCTAAAGAAACAACAGTAAAATTGTGACTGATTTTGTTGTTTGAAATTTGAAAATTGTGATTGATATAAATTTTTATTTATGAGTAAAATAAAGTACCTTGCAGGTTCATACACTGTACTTGTCAGTATTTTATGTAATCAATACATAGATAGAGGTGTTATAAAAATCCAAGGGAAGATAACCGCTGGAGAATGTAAATGTAATTTGTATCAAATACAATGTTTACCAGTCCACAAACGCCAGTCCTTTATACTTTATAACAAATTCATGTTTGTCTAGAAAAGAAATCTTGTTGCATATATTTAACGAGTATTTGTAATGTATTTCAGAAAGTAGGTCACTATGGTGATCTTAAATGGTAATAGCTCGTAGAAATATTTAATATCCTGACCAATGTTATGTTTGTGTTAAAAAGGTTTTGGAATACATGTTTATTTGTAAGACAACTGCAAAACAAGCTATCAGCTTATATAAGTCATTCTTGTTGGCCTCGATGGAAGGGCACCTGGGTTCTTACGGTGGGAGAAAACTACAGTACCCAGAGAACAGAAATCATTTCATTATTTACTGAAACGAATCAGTCATGGAAACCAAAAGATTGGGTCAAAATGCCAAGAGGAGAATCCTTGGCAGCATTCCAAATTTTAAAGAGGTGGTATGAAAACTATGATAAGAAATCTTAAGGGTTATATTAAAATGCTGAAAAATACCAAGGGCAATAATGTTTCAAAATATCTTTGAATCAAAATTCCATACAAATAATTTCATGTTATGACTTTAAAGACTACAAAGTTTCAAAGAAATTGGTTCAAAACTTGGGATGGACACCTCTGTACAAGATAAAAATGCCTGAAAAATCAAAACTTGTTGAATAGAACTGCCATTCAGGAAAACACAATTTCATGTCATAATCACAATGCTTATAAAGTGTAAAAGAAATTCATTGAAAACAGAACTCTAAACAAGACAAACATGATACAACAAAGGACAGTAACTTCTTAATACAGTCAAATCAAGCTACCTTTCAAGCAAGCACTACTAATCATGATGATTATGTTTATCAAGGTGGAAAGATATCTGACAACAGAGAGAAAAAATTGACATTGTGAAAACATGGGATAGTAACTCTTTCAAATACAGTGGAATCAAACTACTGTCCAGAAAAACAAGTTTTAAGGAGAAATGTTACTTTTGAAACAACAAGGGGCAGTAACTCTTCCAAATACAGTCAAATCAAACTTGCCATGTAGAGAAAACAACATCACTTCATGGTAATAACAACAAGGGGCAGTAACTCTTCCAAATACAGTCGAATCAAACTTCCCATGTAGAGAAAACAACTTTACTTCACGTTAATAAGAAAAAAAGATGAGCATTTAAAATGTGGTTTGAAGAAATGTTTCAATAGAAGAAATCTAACTGCCCTTACTTACCAAATTATATGATTACATCCAGGACCACCCCCTTTGGTTTTATCAGCAGATGCTTAGGTATCAAACCCTACACTCGATTAGGTTATGACCAACTACCACGATAGAGTTAAATTTAATTCTTTTCACTCATTACAAATCATCTCCAACTTTTCTTCTACATAATATATTCAGAACATATATCCAAGTGCACTTGAAATGAAACTATTCAAAACAGGTCAATGAAAACAAAGTCTAGGGGCACTAAAATTAAGTTAGTACTTTAGAAGGGTCTAAAAGTGTAAGACTTTAGTGCAAGGGGCTACAGGTCTTGCAGACATCAAAATTGAAATCCGAGATGGTCATCATCCACCTGTCTTGGTTGCTGATCAATCCTAAAATACATCCTGTACCACATAAGGACACTGTGATAATAGATGACTGACAAAAACAAGTCAAGCATCTTTGTTAATTTTATGATTAAAAGACTCCTGAACCAATAACATAATGACGCAAACACTACTCGAGTCAAACATTTCTTCTTGGAATCATTTAATATTAACTTACATAAACAAAAGTATATATATATATGAATGAACAGTGTAGTGGTAACATGAATTAAGGTGAATACTTTATGTGAATCCTACATCTCTACATACACTTTGTGAATTTGTAGACAATTAGATAAGCACAGTAAACATATTTAAGTTCAAGAGACAATATACAGCTGATATGGTGTTGATTGCTACAGTATCCAGCATCAGTAATCTGGGGAGATCAGAATTAGCACCTTAAGAGATCAATCTTGACATGCCAAAATGACATTTTCTAATATAACTTCAAAACTGTTTTTCTTTGATTATTGAATTCCTTTATTAATCATCTTGATGGTTGCGTTCAGTCAAACGATAATGTACATGAAGTCAAATGATGAAATAAATTCAGATATGTTATCTTGATGCCAAATTTTTAACCAAATTTAATATAAAAGCTAGAGTTTTGAATTCTGTTTGCCTTCATGTAAAATTTTGATTAATTTAGAATCCAGTTATGAAAAACATTTTCAGACAGATTTCCCCATGATGATGTAAAGCCAGCAGAGACAGACGATCCCTTGATCTGTTCTGAGATGTTTGACAACAACAAATTACACACAGCTACCATCAACACCTACTCTGAGATTCCTTAATAATAACGGTCTAATAAATGGAATATGTATAAATATAAACATCAGTATACAAACACAACAACTTTGGCAAAACATAAATTTAAACAATATACCCAATATGATACACATGTATTTATCAACATTTTCAGTTTCAATTTGTGCTACATATTATAAAGCACACCCTATCAATTGTGTTTATTTTGTTTATACAGTCATATGTTTCATGAAATATTTTTTGTGATCACAAATATGTCTAAACAAATTTAGGTGATGTTGACTTGATGCTGAAACAAATTTAAGTAATGAAACAGCTCATTCAAACAATCACACTTACAAAATAGAATTATTCCCTAACAAGACACAAATCTACCAGCGCTGTATAATAATAGTATCCACAGACTAATCAAAGTTATCTCCCTTGTTACATGGTGGACGAACTCTTTACAGAATTCTTTTAAAAACCCCTTAATGTATTAGATTGTCGTAAAAAAAAAAAAAAAAAAAACCAGTTTATCACCATCACTTGTGAGATGCACCCTCGCAATAGGATTGGTTACCAACATGCACATGCAGTATTAAACAAGCAACCAATTTTCATACAGACCTCCTGACATCAACATAGTGCTGATCCACACAGGTTCAACTGTGTCAGACATGTGTGAGCATGGAAAACTATAATCTTTGTATTTAGTGTATCTACATTTTGTATGTTGCTTACTAGAGATAAATTTGTTAGTAATACTTGCATAGTAAAAATATCATAATATGGAGATGTATCGCACATAAACTATGTACATTGTCTAAATCTTATCACAGTAGATAGTAAATGTATTCAAGCCACTCCAAATTAATAAATTGGTCTTTAAAAACATTATTTAGGGAGAAAAACTAACAGTTGACAATTCAAAGGGATTATTAACTGTTTAAAGAAAATTATTTCCAAAACATATTTTAACCTTTATATTTTAGTTGTAAGTGTAGAGATACATGTATGTGACAATCAATGCTATCTTCATAACAGGGGAATCCAGAGTCATTGTGAATAACTTTCAGGCCACAAGTTCAAGTATGAAAAAGACACCCACAGGAATTTCTTGCATTCAGTGTAGATGCCCAATTTACAGGATTTTCCAATGATCTGTGTGGATGTAGGTGTACAGTTCGCAACTGATAATGGATTCCCTACAGAGATACAGTGATATTCCACTACATATTGACATTTTGCATTCTTATTTTGATATCTCCCAAGAATGATTCAACAACGGCAAAGTGCAGTGTTAACTGTCTGAAACCTCAAAGTAAACAATTTATGAACATATTTACGAAAAAGTTTGAGTGTTGGTATCAACACCAGTATTTTCTCTGCAAAACAAATTCTACTTATACAAAGCCAATTTGTATTTAGCTTAAGTTTGCACTTCAAACAAATTTGCTTCAATTTTTCCATGTTGCCATCAACAAAGAAATTGATATGAGTCAAACAAAGAGAATCCTGAAATACTATTTAGGATATTATCAAATATGTTTCAATCATTCATCATCCTCTTCATCCTCAGAACACATATTCTCCTCCTCTTCGTCTGTTCGTTTCCCATCCCCTACCTGTGGAAATTCAATATCACCATTGCCATTGGTAGGCGACAGTTCAGAATGAACAGTTGCTCCTACAGGGATTTCAGTATTGTTATTAAGTCTGGCAGTCGTGTCAGCAGCCAATGGCGTAGTACCTGGTGTTGAAACATTTGGTGCTGATGACACATTTTGTGCTGGGTTTGAAGTCGATCGTGTTCTTGTCTTAGGTGCGCCCCCAAACACTGGGATATGAGTCCTATGGATGGACTGAAAATTGTTTTTACGAAAAGCCATTATGCAATGAAGGTTACCACCTGGCTTTTTAGCCTTACGTTTCTGAAGTCCTTCCTCCAGACGTCGTATATTAAGGAACTCGGGATTGACACAGTTCAGGTCTGTGGAAATGTCCTCCCACCTAGAACAGATAAGGGATTTTATCATGAATGACAACAATAATAAGAAGCAGATGTACATGCATGCATACATTTTGAATTTGGACTTTTTGTATATTTTGTTATTAATCACTGCCAAGTCTCGAATGACTATGGTTTACTATATTGTCAGAAATGTATGTCAATTTAGGGAGAGGGTTTGTATAGGTTTTACCTACTGATGAATTACTATTAAATCATCATTTTTGACAAAATGTTTAGGCTCTTTAAAGTAAGTGAAACAAAGTAAAACATGCAAGCACCGTAACTGTTGCCATAAGACAGAGGGACATCAGCATTATTCTAGATATATATATACCTTTTACAGTGTATACTTGGGTGTTTAATGGCACAATCTCCAATTAGCACGTGTGTTTCCATGTCCTCCTGGGCTAGAGGTCCACTGAAACAGTCAAAACAATCAATATAAATACTTATACAGCTTTGAATCCAGAAGAAAGAAAACAACACATGGCTTCCATTTGCATTTTTACTAACGACATTTCTTTCTTCTCCATATCAACCAAATTGTGGTTCTAATCAATGTAGTAAACACACATTTTGTACATTAATATGTAATGAGCGTGGTAAAAAGACAGCCTTTCAAACAGTGTAGCATTTGCTAACTTCTATATATAAAGCACTCAAAAGCCAAGCACTATTTTTTGTTAAGAGTTATCTCCCTTATATGAATGTACCACAAACTTTCCTGTGTTAAAACTACTTGTCCACTTTTATATCATTACATCAAAATATGACTACATTCAGTGATACATAGAAATATTTTTCCATTGATATAAAGAGTAATTTACATTTGAACAGAGTATACTTTCCAAGATGTATGCTGATATGGATGGAAATGCTGTGGCTATGCAGTATATGGGACACTGGAGGAGCAACTTACAATGTAGTTTTTTGATGCTATTAACAAGGAAACTGAACCTTCAGAATAACATTGTTGTTTAGAACTCACAATGTACAACCTCAAGTTGTGATTTCTCTCTCTGAGACAGAAGGATAAAATCTCTCAAATCTGATCATGGCTGCCATATATCATTCCCAAACGGACGGAACCAGCTCATTTCATTCAACATTATTGAACTTTCAAAAGGATTGAAAAATAGGAATAGCTTATTTTAGTCTCTTTTTTTACCAAATCTACCAACTCACTGTTAAGTAACATCATAATGAATCCAGAGAGGTAATTCCCATAGCAGATGCAAGTTACTAAAGCCACCATAAATTAAACTGTAGACATATTGTAAAGATATACAGAGGTATCATACCTGTACGCCTCCTCAGCCTTTAGTGGTGTATCCTCAAACCCAATGGGACAGAAGTAATGGTTCTGGCAGTGATAAATGTAGGCAGTGTTCGCGTCCTGCAGTCCCTTTTTAATAGCCTGGAGGGCCATGTCTGATGTCATTCCAAACGTCTTGTCCTTACCATGAGGCTTGTATGTAAAGTAACTCTGCCCTCGCACCTTGAAGTGGTCATTCAGCTTCTTGAACCATCTTTAAATATATATGTTCTACATGAAAAAGAATCTAGTTCAAGCTTGTGCATAGCTCTGTAATAAGCTAAACCATTCTTTGAGATAGCTCCCTTATTACAGGATTAACACAGTAACAGAGAAATGTATTTAGTAGCTGATGACTACAAATCTACCGATTGGTCAGTTGACAAAATATTTTGGGAAGTACGTATAAACAGGTGTCAGTAAAGCTATGCAAAGTATTCTCTGGTATGTGATCAGCTGTTTTGCGAAGTTCATCCTTAAGATGTTGGAAAGTTTTCTTAATTCCCAATTAAACTGTTTGAAGTGGCCACTTGCAGGAGCTGGGAAAAAGGTCTTTACAAACAAATACAGCTGTATATAATTAGGACTTTTGTAACGGTATATTGATTTTCTTCTACCTTAACAGATAGACTTACGTCATTAGCGTTGCATTTCCAGTAAATGGTCCAAATCGGATCTCATCAAAAGGAGGTTTGAAACCAAGGATGGTGAGAGCCTCTTCCTGGGTGATAGGTGATAGACTGAAACACAAGCAAAGAAATGTGTACCCTCTTGGCATAATGATATCAGCCTCAGATGAGATAGTGTGCTTCCAGGTATAGTCCCAAAACTTAACATAGGTAGCTATGAGTTATTTGTGTATATCAAAATCTGTTATTAAATGGATACAGGGAGATTCCTTCTACAACGTTGTCAGCAAATATCTATGGAATTATTGCAATTCAACAAGAATTACATTTTTTTGAACTAATACAATGAGTAGATTGTTCAAATTTCACCCAATATATTCTTTTTGAATCCTGCACCTTAGACGTTGGGAAGAGGACAGGAATAAAATATTCATAACATCAAACTACCATCCAATATATTACTTAAAATTCTATCCAATTTTACATCACTTCCAATGGAAAGTATACAAATTATACTTAAAAGTCCATCCAATATAGGTGACAGTAAACCTTATCCCTGGAATCATGAGAACTGAAGCTTACAATCCCGACAGAGCACATATAGATATCTCATCATACAGATTATTTTATTTTATAGTACCTAGATCTGCAGGGTTGAAAATTTGAAAATGGAATGACACATTAACATGTCAGTAATTGTAAAATTGTGGGAATTTACCTACACAATCTTGTCTGGTAAGGAAATTGACCCATAAAAGTAAACAAAACATCCTTACTTTCCGTTGCCTAGAGTACTGAAGAGAAAATTCCAACAGGAGACAAGGGAGGTAATTCCACATGATTTGCTGTACTGTGGTCGACTCATGCACACCCTACAAATAATCAAACGAAGATTTAGAGTCAAACTGTTTCTCAAACAGCTAATATAAACTTATTTACTGTATAAATAACCTGCAGTTAATACAAATAATTGTTTTTTAAGAGTGAAAGTTTGAACCAGATACCAACATGCTTAAACAAGCCTAGTTATTCTGTGTGACATTTCTTTTGTTATCAAACTCTTGTCAAGTGATAGTTTTTAATCTAATATACAATAAATCCTTTGTTTAATGTGAAAGGAAATTTGTATGGAATTTAAACTCTTAAAATTTTTGTTGTAAACAAAACGCCAAAATCAAATTTAGGGATATTCTTAGAGAGCATATACATATATGTTAAATTATTACTGTATGAACTGTATGAGACACTTATATGGCCAAGACAAAAGTATGTACAATAATTTTAGTACAGGATTTTATGAGGCCCTAACCATGTATACAGAAACTCCTACAGCATGTATTTTAGCATCTGTCTATAAACGTACTGTAAAATGTTTTGGTAACCTACAAGCTGTTATGAGACCCTGTATTTAATACAAATCATCAACTTTGTTCTATCCACATGTGACTTAGACTATGGCCATTTCATCAGCTGGTTAATCTGTCCATCGTTCTGCTTTTCAAAGAGTTGACATTTATATATGAGCAAATTTCAGCATACATACGTTACAGCAATGATATTATAATAACAGAGAAAGGTTTCACCTTTATTGACAGATCATTAGTGTTGTGGCTCTATAATGCAATTATTTTCACATTTACAAGAAACTGTCCTAGGGTGAACACCAGTAGGAAGGCACCACTTTTAATACAAGGCACAACTCTACCATTATCTAAGAACAGATATTCTATGTAAAAACACATACCATCGTTTCACATCAAAAACTTTCCTTGCACAGATCTGTTCTGCAGTGACTTTCACACTCGCAGGGATGTATGGGCTGGAGTCATCTCCCTTTACCATGGAGCTTGTCAGCACTTACAAACAAATAATAAAGACTAATTAGTCATATGTCCTAATTTGAATACAGGCATATCTAAATGTTTATGTCATTCATCTCAATCACAAAGGTAAAATCTCCATCTATGGAGGCTAAGTCCTGTAAAACATTTACCTACATCATTTGTTGATACAGGACTAATTTGCTATACATTTCAACATTAAACTTTCTCCTTTCTTACAAATGTGTTGAAGTTAAACTGTGGAGATTGTCCCTACATCAGATGTAATCTATCAGCACTGCATCTGTTTACTGGAGTTGGTGGTGTCACTTTTACTCTCTATTTCCTCAATAATGAGGACTATTGAAGACCATTAGATATCCACATCTTAGAACTGAATTCTTACACGGACATTGGACTTCTCACCCACTCACCTTCCAACTCCACCATATACTGTTACTTCAGTAAAAGTACCACAATATACAGTTACTTCAGTAAAAGTACCACCATATACAGTTATATCAGTAAAAGTACCACCATATACAGTTATATCAGTAAAAGTACCACCATATACAGTTATATCAGTAAAAGTACCACCATATACAGTTACTTCAGTAAAAGTACCACCATATACAGTTATGTCAGTAAAAGTACCACCATATACAGTTATATCAGTAAAAGTACCACCATATACAGTTACTTCAGTAAAAGTACAACCATATACAGTTATATCAGTAAAAGTACCACCATATACAGTTACTTCAGTAAAAGTACCACCATATACAGTTATATCAGTAAAAGTACCACCATATACAGTTATATCAGTAAAAGTACCACCGTATACAGTTATATCAGTAAAAGTACCACCATATAGGCCTACAGTTATATCAGTAAAAGTACCACCACATACAGTTATATCAGTAAAAGTACCACCATATACAGTTATATCAGTAAAAGTACCACCATATACAGTTACTTCAGTAAAAGTACCACCATATACAGTTATATCACCAAAAGTACCACCATATACAGTTACATCAGTAAAAGTACCACTATATACAATTATCTGTAAAAGTACCACTATATACAGTTACTTTAGTAAAAGTACCACCATATACAGTTACTTCAGTAAAAGTACCACCATATACAGTTACTTCAGTAAAAGTACCACCATCCACCATATACAGTTACTTCAGTAAAAAGTAACATTCTGATAACTCACCTGGTTTCCTGATTTTCCTGGCAGGTGTGATATCAGACACATCCACATCCCATGCCATTTCTGATGGCATCTCCTTAACTTTGGAATCCGTCCCATCCACATTTATTTGTGGTGACAAATTTTTCGGCTCCAATTTCGATGTTTCAGACTTTCCCACCTCTTGCTTTACTTCCTGTGATTTTGATCCCTGTTCACCATTATTGTTATTTGCACTATGTTTAGATTCCTTTGGCCTTGACCTATCATCACCAGAAAATGATGGAATTAGACTTTTCCTCTGTTCCTTAACTTTTTGCTTTTCTTCTTTCATTTTACTATCCATTGGAAATGAAGGAATCATTGATGGTATACTTGACCTTTGATCCCTGATGAACTTTGACCTTTCATCAATTTGTTGCTTGTCATCAAGTTGTACAGACGTGACCAATGATGCTATATTTGACCTTTGATCTCTGTTGTTGGACTTTTCATCACTTGGAACGTAGTTTGAAGTCACTGCTACAATGTCGTTACATGTAACTCCTGACCTCTGTTCCTTGCCTGGTGATTTTTCCTTTGGAACAGATGGTTTTGTTGGACTATATGCTAATGAACGTGGTGCATGACCTCCAAGTTGACCTTTACCAGGGAGAGTGTTATCTCCCCCACCATCTGTAAACAAAGCCGTTGATCCTGTCTCCCGACTGTCTGGTTTTTCATTGCGGAATCCATTGATTGGTGGAAGCTTTGTAAGGTCAGCTGATGCCCGAGTCGGTGTATTACCTTTTTGTATCCTCGACCCAGTATCAATTCTAGGACCCTGCAGACGAGAACCCGACCTCCGGCTTTGAGGGAGATTTCCATCATAGTAGGGTCGCTGCTGTCGCTCAATTGACCGGCTCATTCCTTCTGCTAAAGACCCTATAAGAACAAAACATTATCAATTATCATGTGAAAGTATATCCTACTCCTGTTGGTTCTTTACATTAATCCTTGTGACTCACACTGTTGTTCTACATGGATCTGACGTTCTCGTGATTTATAGAAATTTCAAAGTCTGATGAATTCAAATCTGTAATAAATAAATCTGAATGTATCAACAATATTTACCATACACATGGAAACATTTCCAACATATTTACCAATTCCTCTGTGGCGTCCACGAAGTTGAAACCCAGCCATTTCTATTCTTAGCGTCAAATTTCAACCTTACTGTTTCAGTATAACATCAACACAATCTTCTGTATTTACACCCACATCATTTTCTTTTTTTTTAAAGAAACATTCAAATGAAAATTCTGTAAATTTGTGAAATACTCCAAATTTTCCAAGAACTCTGCAAACTGCCTAAGAAAACACACATTCTGTAACCTCATTCAGCCTTTTATTGCTGACATTAGCAGCTGTAAACAATTCACTCATGGTGATAATTGACCATCCAGAGGAGCTGCTCATATAGCATTTTGATAGAAATTTGAATAAAATCACCATTCCACCAGAAATATGTTGAATGTTCACTAAAATTATCTCTCCTCCCATCCAACCTGACATATTATGTTCACAATTTTACCAATCTGAAGAATTAATGATAGAAAGAATGACTTGATTCTGCAACCACCATGAATTTGTCAAGTGTTTTTCCAAATATCACAAATCCTTTACGCAAACATTGCAGAGGTTACACATCTCATCAAATCATCAAGATCTGTTCATTGTTCACAATATCCACATTTATGTCTACCGGTTCCAATGTCATTATAGGGACTTCCAAGGCCCAGCCAACAATAAATGTGTGTATCAGAGGTCTACAATCTGTATTCTTATATATATATATTTAGCAATGCATTGTTCTCCATAAACAATAAATTGACTGTCTGTGTGGATGTATATTGTTTTTATTTGAAATATTTTCAAAGTCTCATTGTCTAATATTCCATTTTCAATATTTAGTCATTCATTTAACAAAACTGTAATCTAATATCTTCTAAAAATAAATTGGTACCTAAACCTTTCATATCACATTTCTTAATTGGATTATTCTGATCTATAAAAACATACATTAAACGGCTTCTCCTATTGGTTCCTAAGGACAACAGACAAATCTTGATTTGTACATCCGGAATCTTACTGATCCCTATAACCTTACATTGAACTGTTCCATTATTGGTTTATAGTGATCCATTCTAAATGATAAGGGGTGCCAGGAAGAATTATCATAAGGTTCCAGTTCTGAACAAACTTTGTTAGCCCAAAAATACATTCATACATATCACATATCACTAATTATTTATTTCGTGCAAAATCTAAATGAGCAAGAACTGCAGAAACATCAAAATATTTTTAAGAAAAAAAAAGGAATGAGTATTTTTAAAGTGTAAAGCATAAGTTTTAAATTCATGATAAATTATCAAAACCTGACAAGGCTGAGCAGATTTAAAGACGAGATATTATCAGCGTGTATCGAGAATACTTTTTGCAGACAATGATGATTTGTCCTATCACACATCAGTAAACATTACTAAGGAAGTATATACTAAATAGCGTGTGTGGTTTTAAATTACCTCCAAACAGTCATTCAATAAGATAATCTGTTTATACATTTTAAACTCATCTTAAACTTGGCATTTTGTATTTAGTGTAACAAGGTTTCATCAGGACAATCATCAGATGTGAGATGACGTGATGAGAAATGACAAATCTCTGCAGGATCTTGATGCACACCGTCTTTTGATCTTTATTTGTTATTTAAAAGTTAAAAGCTCTTAAGGAATATAAATTTTAAAAATTCTCTCAAGAAATAGCAATAACAATCTTGAACTGCCATATCAAAGATAATCACTTGTTGATCATTTTGTTTTTCTGATAATTCCCAAAATCATTTGGGTACAACTGGTTACCAAGGAAACCTACATACAATATTTGAGAAAAACTCCATTTAGCACTTCTCAAGAAATAGCAAGACCTATCCCTCATTTGCAAAATCAAAGATGGTCACGCATCAGCTATTTTATTATGTATTTCTAATCTGTCCCAAAATCAAACACGCACAACTAACAACCTAGGGGAACCTACATATGAATTTCAGAGAGATCCATCCAGTAATTTTTAAGGAACAGTGATAAGAATCTTTCATTGTAAAAATTCAACATGGACATCTGTTGGACATTTTTTTAATCATTCCCCATCTGAAATATGCATAACCTAGCAACAACGTATGATGTTTGAGAATGATCTGTTCCAGTGCTTTTCCAGAAATATAGTAATAACTATACTTGCCAAAAAGCAACATGGTCACCATGTGGCCATCATATATTTCCCAAAATGAACTTCTGTATGTACAACTAGGGACTAGGGTGAACCTACAAATGAATTCTTAGAATGATCCATCCACTGCTTCTCCAGAAATAGTGATATCAAGGAATGGTTAAGGATGGACAGACAACAGTTGGCAACGGACGGACAACAAGTGGACAAATGGCAGATAAAGAGTGATTTGATTAGCCTCCCATCAGTTTTATGTGTCCTAAATCGGGATACTAATTTCTGGCATATAGGGTTTAGTTAAATGTCCTGTCTGACCCTACATCTGACACTGGAATAAGATAACAGGACTTTTATACCAAGGGCATATACAAATTATACAAGTGATTAACATTCTTCAAATGTGATTGTTGCTAACCAGATCCTGTATACATACAAAAGGTCACTCAGACCTGTATCACTGACTCATTTTGGGTACATGTAGCCCTAACAGATTTCTCACTGAGATCAAAGAATGATAAGAGCTTGGCCCAAGACCATTATCAGTCATCTAAAAGCTTCTGTTTTCATTGTTATATGTCATAGAAATCATCTTAGTAAGTAAGGTGACTTAATCTACATTCTACAAGTAATACATATGTGATACATGCAAACATTAACTGCCATTTCATGTTAATAATTTCAACCAAGTATTAGTTATTTCCATCAGAAAATAAACAAGTCATGTCTCAAATTGTAGGTTCTTTATATAAACTATTGCAAACGTTACCCCTCCTCAGAGGACAAAGTGACATCCTTGGGTGAAATTCACCATTTCAGTGAAGTACCTTAAGACCACTCCTGAATCTATGAAGTGTATTTCATTCTACCAATTTCAGCTAATCTGACCCCATAAGCACGCTCCCAGGGGATGGAGAACACAAATTCACACTTTTTCTTCACCTTTGACAATGGAAGGATTCTATAAAATCGGTCCCAGTTTTTTGAAAAATCAAAAATGTCAATTGCTGACAGACGCACAACGGACAATGACGGACAATAGGTGATCGAAAATAGAATTATAAAAACAATGGTCAGATACAATACCAGGAATATTTATAAAATGCCTGGTTACTTATGTCACTAAACTAAGAATTTGTTGTCCATAATCAGGAAGATGAAAGCAGTAATTGCGTGGTTAGAGTAAAAATGATTATAATGCTTTGCATATTTTGAAGCTAATCAAACACCCTGTGTGTCTAAGGTACCTCCCCATGTCTCCTTCAGTACGTGGTCTATGTTCAGTCTGAGGTACCTACCTATGTGTGTCTCCTTCAGTACATGGTCTCTGTCCAGTCTGAGGTATCTACCTATGTCTGTCTCCTTCAGTACGTGTTCTCTGACCAGTCTGAGGTACCTACCTATATCTGTCTCCTTCAGTACGTGGTCTCTGTCTCCTTCAGTATGTGGTCTCTGTCCAGTCTGAGGTACCTACCTATATCTGTCTCCTTCAGTACGTGGTCTCCGTCCAGTCTGAGGTACCTACCTATGTGTGTCTCCTTCAGTACGTGGTCTCTGTCTCCTTCAGTATGTGGTCTCTGTCCAGTCTGAGGTACCTACCTTTATCTGTCTCCTTCAGTACATGGTCTCTGTCTCCTTCAGTACATGGTCTCTGTCCAGTCTGAGGTACCTACCTATGTCTGTCTCCTTCAGTACGTGGTCTCTGTCTCCTTCAGTACTTGGTCTCTGTCTCCTTCAGTATGTGGTCTCTGTCCAGTCTGAGGTACCTACCTTTATCTGTCTCCTTCAGTACATGGTCTCTGTCTCCTTCAGTATGTGGTCTCTGTCCAGTCTGAGGTACTTACCTATGTCTGTCTCCTTCAGTACGTGGTCTCCGTCCAGTCTGAGGTACCTACCTATGTGTGTCTCCTTCAGTACATGGTCTCTGTCCAGTCTGAGGTATCTACCTATGTCTGTCTCCTTCAGTACGTGTTCTCTGTCCAGTCTGAGGTACCTACCTATATCTGTCTCCTTCAGTACGTGGTCTCTGTCTCCTTCAGTATGTGGTCTCTGTCCAGTCTGAGGTACCTACCTATATCTGTCTCCTTCAGTACGTGGTCTCTGTCTCCTTCAGTATGTGGTCTCTGTCCAGTCTGAGGTACCTACCTATGTCTGTCTCCTTCAGTACGTATTCTCTGTCCAGTCTGAGGTACCTACCTTTATCTGTCTCCTTCAGTATGTGGTCTCTGACCAGTCTGAGGTATCTACCTATATCTGTCTCCTTCAGTACGTGGTCTCTGTCTCCTTCAGTATGTGGTCTCTGACCAGTCTGAGGTATCTACCTATATCTGTCTCCTTCAGTACGTGGTCTCTGTCTCCTTCAGTACGTGGTCTCTGTCTCCTTCAGTACATGGTCTCTGTCCAGTCTGAGGTATCTACCTATGTCTGTCTCCTTCAGTACGTGTTCTCTGACCAGTCTGAGGTACCTACCTATATCTGTCTCCTTCAGTACGTGGTCTCTGTCTCCTTCAGTATGTGGTCTCTGTCCAGTCTGAGGTACCTACCTATATCTGTCTCCTTCAGTACGTGGTCTCCGTCCAGTCTGAGGTACCTACCTATGTGTGTCTCCTTCAGTACGTGGTCTCTGTCTCCTTCAGTATGTGGTCTCTGTCCAGTCTGAGGTACCTACCTTTATCTGTCTCCTTCAGTACATGGTCTCTGTCTCCTTCAGTACATGGTCTCTGTCCAGTCTGAGGTACCTACCTATGTCTGTCTCCTTCAGTACGTGGTCTCTGTCTCCTTCAGTACTTGGTCTCTGTCTCCTTCAGTATGTGGTCTCTGTCCAGTCTGAGGTACCTACCTTTATCTGTCTCCTTCAGTACATGGTCTCTGTCTCCTTCAGTATGTGGTCTCTGTCCAGTCTGAGGTACTTACCTATGTCTGTCTCCTTCAGTACGTGGTCTCCGTCCAGTCTGAGGTACCTACCTATGTGTGTCTCCTTCAGTACATGGTCTCTGTCCAGTCTGAGGTATCTACCTATGTCTGTCTCCTTCAGTACGTGTTCTCTGTCCAGTCTGAGGTACCTACCTATATCTGTCTCCTTCAGTACGTGGTCTCTGTCTCCTTCAGTATGTGGTCTCTGTCCAGTCTGAGGTACCTACCTATATCTGTCTCCTTCAGTACGTGGTCTCTGTCTCCTTCAGTATGTGGTCTCTGTCCAGTCTGAGGTACCTACCTATGTCTGTCTCCTTCAGTACGTATTCTCTGTCCAGTCTGAGGTACCTACCTTTATCTGTCTCCTTCAGTATGTGGTCTCTGACCAGTCTGAGGTATCTACCTATATCTGTCTCCTTCAGTACGTGGTCTCTGTCTCCTTCAGTATGTGGTCTCTGACCAGTCTGAGGTATCTACCTATATCTGTCTCCTTCAGTACGTGGTCTCTGTCTCCTTCAGTACGTGGTCTCTGTCTCCTTCAGTACATGGTCTCTGTCCAGTCTGAGGTATCTACCTATGTCTGTCTCCTTCAGTACGTGTTCTCTGACCAGTCTGAGGTACCTACCTATATCTGTCTCCTTCAGTACGTGGTCTCTGTCTCCTTCAGTATGTGGTCTCTGTCCAGTCTGAGGTACCTACCTATATCTGTCTCCTTCAGTACGTGGTCTCCGTCCAGTCTGAGGTACCTACCTATGTGTGTCTCCTTCAGTACGTGGTCTCTGTCTCCTTCAGTATGTGGTCTCTGTCCAGTCTGAGGTACCTACCTTTATCTGTCTCCTTCAGTACATGGTCTCTGTCTCCTTCAGTACATGGTCTCTGTCCAGTCTGAGGTACCTACCTATGTCTGTCTCCTTCAGTACGTGGTCTCTGTCTCCTTCAGTACTTGGTCTCTGTCTCCTTCAGTATGTGGTCTCTGTCCAGTCTGAGGTACCTACCTTTATCTGTCTCCTTCAGTACATGGTCTCTGTCTCCTTCAGTATGTGGTCTCTGTCCAGTCTGAGGTACTTACCTATGTCTGTCTCCTTCAGTACGTGGTCTCCGTCCAGTCTGAGGTACCTACCTATGTGTGTCTCCTTCAGTACATGGTCTCTGTCCAGTCTGAGGTATCTACCTATGTCTGTCTCCTTCAGTACGTGTTCTCTGTCCAGTCTGAGGTACCTACCTATATCTGTCTCCTTCAGTACGTGGTCTCTGTCTCCTTCAGTATGTGGTCTCTGTCCAGTCTGAGGTACCTACCTATATCTGTCTCCTTCAGTACGTGGTCTCTGTCTCCTTCAGTATGTGGTCTCTGTCCAGTCTGAGGTACCTACCTATGTCTGTCTCCTTCAGTACGTATTCTCTGTCCAGTCTGAGGTACCTACCTTTATCTGTCTCCTTCAGTATGTGGTCTCTGACCAGTCTGAGGTATCTACCTATATCTGTCTCCTTCAGTACGTGGTCTCTGTCTCCTTCAGTATGTGGTCTCTGACCAGTCTGAGGTATCTACCTATATCTGTCTCCTTCAGTACGTGGTCTCTGTCTCCTTCAGTACGTGGTCTCTGTCTCCTTCAGTACGTGGTCTCTGTCCAGTCTGAGGTATCTACCTATATCTGTCTCCTTCAGTACGTGGTCTCTGACCAGTCTGAGGTACCTACCTATATCTGTCTCCTTCAGTACGTGGTCTCTGTCTCCTTCAGTATGTGGTCTCTGTCCAGTCTGAGGTACCTACCTATATCTGTCTCCTTCAGTACGTGGTCTCTGTCTCCTTCAGTACGTGGTCTCTGTCTCCTTCAGTATGTGGTCTCTGTCCAGTCTGAGGTACCTACCTATATCTGTCTCCTTCAGTACGTGGTCTCTGACCAGTCTGAGGTACCTACCTATATCTGTCTCCTTCAGTACGTGGTCTCTGACCAGTCTGAGGTACCTACCTATATCTGCCTCCTTCAGTACGTGGTCTCTGTCTCCTTCAGTATGTGGTCTCTGTCCAGTCTGAGGTACTTACCTATGTCTGTCTCCTTCAGTACGTGGTCTCCGTCCAGTCTGAGGTACCTACCTATGTCTGTCTCCTTCAGTACGTGGTCTCTGTCCAGTCTGAGGTACCTACCTATATCTGTCTCCTTCAGTACGTGGTCTCTGTCTCCTTCAGTATGTGGTCTCTGACCAGTCTGAGGTACCTACCTATATCTGTCTCCTTCAGTACGTGGTCTCTGTCTCCTTCAGTATGTGGTCTCTGTCCAGTCTGAGGTACCTACCTATATCTGTCTCCTTCAGTACGTGGTCTCTGACCAGTCTGAGGTACCTACCTATATCTGTCTCCTTCAGTATGAGTGCTGCACTCTGTGCAGCTTTATAATCTTCATTAGTGACATGAGTGAGTAGTTCTTCAACCTCCCGGATCAGACGTGCGACAATGGTTGGGTCTATCCCAGAGTAAATATAGCTTGCTGCAGGCTGTAAACATAACAATATAGACAATGACAAGTTTAAAATGCCACAGATGCAATAAGGTATGGATGGCAACGTGCCAAAAATGAAAGTTCCTTGCCTTAATTTCCTACCATTAAATTTTTGATATCAAAGACAATCATGCTTGCTTCTCTAAAGAACATTTCTCAGTAAATCTATACGATCTATGAAACTTCTTCATGAGGCAGATTTCAGCAATAGTCCCATATGATCTAAACACATCTACTGGCGTTAGCATATTACACTGAATACCTGAATAGTGTTATACCTGAATAGTTGAGATGTCATTTTGTTTTTTTGACCTTTCAACTTTCATATTAACACTGAAATAAGCCCAGGGGGCCTTAAACATAACCCTTGATTCAAAGTAGGGATTGGTGGAGATATGATCTGTTGGCAGTTCTTCTTAAACACAGTAATTGTGAGTATAAATCACACAGCAGCATTTTGGCTGATAAATATAGCATGGAAACTGAGAAAAGCAATCCTAGTAAAATGAGATCAAATCAATGACTGTAAGCAAAGTTGTTTTGTAAAAGAAGTTGTCTGTATCTGTCAGGCACAGGGTAAATACTGTCACTCAAAGGCTCTAGTTCAGTAGAGTAGAATGCTTTGTATCCAGCTTGGTTTGTATTTGAGAAGATATTTCAGACCCTATCATTCTTTTGTATATTTATTAGGAAACACATTTGGCTATAAAATATATCATACAGGTCACAAGTACTATCTGGAACAAATATGACAGCCTTCAATAAGCAACCTGCAAAATTTCATTACTCATAGATTTCAAGTTATGTATATCACTAGGCACAAATACACATCAAGGTTTCATCACCGATACAATTACTATACATGATAGAGAGATCAGGCCATTCCTGGCCACTATGCCTACTTAATTCAAATTTCAGAAATTAAAACAGATCTTTACCTTTCACAGCCATAATTAGTCTCCCATATCCTTGATACTTATGTCTACTAACAAAGGGTTTGACAGCTGGACATATTGATCTGATCTTCACTTTAAATAGCATTACAATGTTACATTCTAATTGGAAAACAAGTCCGACCAACATCAATATAATAACATACATTTACCTTGTCCTTCTTGACATTGCCATCTTTTGGGGAGGTTTTCTCTGTCTCTCTTTGCTGATCCTCTGGGAGCTGTTGTTTTTGTGGCCTCCCTTGTTGATCCTCAGGGACCTGTTGATTTTGTGGCGGTTCTTGCTGATCCTCAAGGAGCTGTTCAGTCTGTGCTGCTCCTTGCTGAACCAATGTACCACCGTCTCTCTCTTCTCCCTCAGAGTCTCTTTCGTTGTCACTATCCTTTTCCTCTACATAATCTTCATCTTCTTCTACACCAAAACCATCATCCTCATATGGTAATACTTCAAAAATTTCAGGAAGTTCCTGATCTTCTCTGACAACTAGTCCTCCAGCACTATTAGCATTACCCATTGACCTCTGTAAAACAGAACAAGGGAGATAATTATACAGCTGATACCAGTACAATTAGCATTACTCATTGACCTCTGTAAAACAGAACAAGGGAGATAATTATACAGCAGATATCAGTTCAATTAGCATTACTAAATGACCTCTGTAAAACAGGAGAGACAATGGAGATAATTAGACAGCAGATACAAGTACAATCAACATTACTACTTGACCTCTGTAAAACAGGAGAGACAAGGGATTGATAATCGCAGAGCAAACACCAGCACTATTATCATTACCCACTATCCTCTGTAAAATGACAAAAACAAGGGAGATAATTGTAGAGCTGAGATAAGCACTATTAGCATTACCCAGTGATATCTGTAAAACAAGGAGAATCAACAGGAGATAATTATACAACAGAAACCAGTACAAACAACGATACCCGTTGACTTGTCCTTTTGTACAGATTTTTAAATATGGACACATTGAATTATATTCAGCCAGGACAAGTAATATAGGCCTTATCCATGACTCAGCCAAAGCATACACAGAAGTGTTACATTTCCACTTTATTGTCAGGTTTTGAGTATCTGGCCCCTGTAACAACAGTGATTTTTTGGATATTTGAATCCTGAACTCAGGTTTTTCTCTAGGAATCACTCCAATTTTCATAACCTGTTTCATAACCTCTTTGTAACTGGACTCAACAATATTTTGGAAATGGTGCCCCACAACAATTACCGAAGAGAAACAGAAATATTATAACACCAGAGATCCCCCAATCATACCTCAAAACACTTTTCGAGATTTTCTTGCTCTTTTTTCAAACTAGATTTTTTTACACCAATTTTTGCAACAAACACATTAAATATTTTTACATGCCAAAATCTAAAAGCTGGAGACTTGTGAATTGTAAGCACTGAAAAATAAAACACATGAGTGAGACAGCCTCGAAATACTTACTAGATTTACATGAGTGTCAACAAGGATACCTTTGATAAAATTCCAGACACAGCTTAAAACAGTATGAAGACATAGAAATACAGTCTACCTCTAGTGATATTCCTGATACAGCAGGTGACTTTATAGTCTCAAGTGTGAATCAGAGCTGATAGGATTAAGCTGTTCAATGTCACCAGAAGAATACAAAAAATTGATTTCTTCACTTCTACATGTACATGTGATCGACCTAAAAACTGAAAAGACATCCCTGAACCAAGGTGTTACCAATCAAACACTACCAATATACATAGCTTAAATACCAGTGTATCAAACGCCATGTAAAGAAGACAAACACCAACAACTACCATTATACATAGCTTAAATACCAGTATATCAAACTCCTTGTAGAGAAGACAAACACCAACAACTACCATTATACATAGCTTAAATACCAGTATATCAAACTCCTTGTAGAGAAGACAAACACCAACAACTACCATTATACATAGCTTAAATACCAGTATAGCAAACTCCATGTAGAGAAGACAAACACCAACATCTACCATTATACATAGCTTAAATACCAGTATATCAAACTCCTTGTAGAGAAGACAAACACCAACAACTACCATTATACATAGCTTAAATACCAGTATAGCAAACTCCATGTAGAGAAGACAAACACCAACATCTACCATTATACATAGCTTAAATACCTGTATATCAAACTCCTTGTAGAGAAGACAAACACCAACATCTACCATTATACATAGCTTAAATACCAGTATATCAAACTCCTTGTAGAGAAGACAAACACCAACAACTACCATTATACATAGCTTAAATACCAGTATAGCAAACTCCATGTAGAGAAGACAAACACCAACATCTACCATTATACATAGCTTAAATACCAGTATATCAAACTCCTTGTAGAGAAGACAAACACCAACAACTACCATTATACATAGCTTAAATACCAGTATAGCAAACTCCATGTAGAGAAGACAAACACCAACATCTACCATTATACATAGCTTAAATACCAGTATATCAAACTCCTTGTAGAGAAGACAAACACCAACAACTACCATTATACATAGCTTAAATACCAGTATATCAAACTCCTTGTAGAGAAGACAAACACCAACAACTACCATTATACATAGCTTAAATACCAGTATATCAAACTCCTTGTAGAGAAGACAAACACCAACAACTACCATTATACATAGCTTAAATACCAGTATATCAAACTCAGAGAAGACAAACACCAACAACTACCATTATACATAGCTTAAATACCAGTATATCAAACTCCATGTAGAGAAGACAAACACCAACTATGAATATAACATTAGTTTACAGTATACTGTATTTAATGAATTATTATGAAACACTGATAATTCATTTGGTCACAGAACAGAGTGTTCTTTACGAAGCCATGACAAAGCGCCAATTTAACATTTCAAACAACATAAAGACATTTTTATACTCTTGGAAACCACTGCTAGTTCAAGTTCCACTTTAATTACAAAATTACCATAAAACTTGTGGACTTAACCTTAAAAAATATTACTCATAACTGTTTCCAATTCCTCCTTTGTTGGAGTATTTTGCTGACCAAACAACATCATTCTCTTTCTGTGTTAACTGATTGTCATTATTTGTTCAAATGCAATAAAATTCTTGTATCTGAAAATAGGTGTGTATGTACATTTACGTACCAAACAATATCTGATGGCTTACAAGTCTACTGAAACGTGTTCTGATTTTTATTTCAGGATCAGCATGATAACCCTCACTCTGGAAATTAGATATTATATAGTCCTTCACATTGTAGACTGGCCATATGTAATAAAAACATAATATGTAACATCATATCATCAAAGCAAACTAAAGTTTACGTAGTCTAGATCATGTGTTAATAAGGTCTATCTTTTTTAAGGATTGATTGAAGGAGCTGATAACATTCATACCTCTTCTGAGAGGTTATTTACATATCCTGAAAAAACATGTAAAAAATAAAAAGATTTTTTAAGTATTTACAAAGTGTGACAGCTTAAGGTACAATACTTTGGTACAACCTCAACTTCCCGATCATTGGAAATTATTCTGCCCCGAATGTCAGACACTTTAACATGAGTGTATACAAATAGAGATATGCCACCCAAGCATTACAAAAATTAGTAATACTGAAGGAACACCATAAAATTCTGAAAATCAGATTTTGGCTTACTCTCTCTCTAATACTAAAAAAAAAACAAGCTTATTTTCAGGAAAGTCTTAACGTTTGATGTCAGCGTGTTTTCGAGCTTTTTAGGGTAAACAAAGTAAATACTGACAGCCTTATTTCAGCACTTTTCACACTGAAAGTATTGCACTAAAATATGATTGAACTATTTGTAATTTCTTTCTGCTGTTTATATACCAGTTTTTGTGGGTACACAAATTTCTCATAGAGCTGATTAAATAAAGTGATAATAGGCTAAACTTTTATTGTACCAGTTAAGCAAGTCTATGGTATAATGTTACCACACCCGCTTCCTTGTAGCACAATGAATATTGAAAATCTTATAAATATATCAACATTGAACTGCTTATATTTGGCATTCATTAGCATTCTGAATGCCAACTAGGTAAAGACAAGTTCAACATATGAAGCCAACTGATTTTAGACTTAAGCTTTGACATTTAAAATTGTATTGTCCTTGAATGCCAATTGAATGCTTAAATATGAATGCACATGCAGGTACACTCGTGTGGCTGTTATATATATAATAGTATTCTATAGAGACATACCCAGGTGTTTTAAAGATAGATCGAAGTCATACCTGATTTAAATTACAACATATCAAAGTACTGGTACCAAAGTAAGGCAGATCAATTAGTCCGTCACATACAGGCATGTGGAAGTCAGTCACATACAGGCATGTGGGATTATAATAGTCTCAATGCAAACATATATATCTCAGCAAAATCTGCTTTTCATGACCAATGTACATAATACATCACACTGTTTGCATGGAAGGAAAAACCTCGAAATATTCCTTTATGCAAATTTTTTATCAAGTATTTGAAAGCATTCATCTTGTACAGAAATATTATATAATTAAGTACAATTAAAACAGATGTTCTAATTCAATGAGAAATATTTCATGAAATTTGATATATATCCTGTATCTGATATTGTTTACTCAAGTATCAAGATTATGTGTACTTCCTCAAAATTTACAGAGGTATACCGTTATCTGTAAAATCATAAATTTTTCTCTCGTACTTACAGTGTAATCAAATCTTTCAGATGATAATGTACTTGTCTCCTGTCAACCTGGCTTAACAGGAACTGACCATCAAACAAATTGACCCATAAGGACAAAGTCTTCCTATATAATTAGTTAAAGCCTGTCCAGTTGATTATTTCGTTCAGCTACCTGTCAACACAGGTGTATGTAAACACCTGACACCATGCTGTTAAGAGAACGGTACTTTACTGTTGACATACGGCCAGTCTCGTTCTACACTATACACTGAAGGAATCCGTGCTCGTCTACTATTTTACAATGAGAGATATTATATTGGCACATACTTAAGTTCCATTTATAGATAGTTATCGTCCATTATTCACAACATTTATTTCATCAATGCTTTCTGAAAATAGAAGTATTAAGAAATATTGTCCTGAATTATTTCAGTTAACTATAACTGTGGCCAGACGTCTTAAAATCATGTGCTGAGGTTTTAATTATAACTATAGGAGTCCAGTACCTTACCATCCCATGCCCACATACAGTGTTACAACCTCATCTCATATTATCATTTTTTTTTTTTGAAACAGAGTTCAGTACCAGCATGTAAATTTTTCATAGTACAACACTTTCCACATTGTATCAAAACTTATAACTTTCAATTAGACTGAAATTTGTTTGGAGACATAAATGACAGTGTTTGATAAGATCCAAAGTCAAAAAGAAAAGGTCTATTCTACATAAATGTTTGTACACCGTGTCTGTTATGCTAAACAACTTGCTTGTGTTAGTGTCACTACTGTATGGAACCCAGTATTGGTGCCACTG